ATGAATATTTACATTATTACTTTTATAATTTATATTGTAATTTACCAATTGCATTCCTCGCAATCTGACCAATTTCTTTGGCCATATTGGGCCATCAATCAATGGAAACTGGCACTCGCTGAGCATTCCCGTTACACTAATATAGAAATCGGCGGGCAGTGGAAAATGTAAAATTGCGAAATTCCGCTGAGAAAAACGTCTATTAATTAACAACCTTTCCACTGCTTCGAGCGGAGCTTCATCCATTCCCCAGATGAATGCCAGCAGCCTGCGACTCAAATAATTAATGATGCGCCGCGGCGTCTCAACTTTGCGCCATCGCTGTGCAAATATTAGCAAATTATTTTAGTTTTATAGAATCCCAGCCCGGCTGCTGCGACTGTGTTTGCTCAGCGCCAGCCGTTAGCCAGAAATGTCAATTTCTTAGACTCCGTCTCCGACTTTGACTGCCACCGAGACGTTGTCTTTGAAGGACGAAAATGAAAAGTCGGCCAAAGCAATGCGCATCCCTGCCTGCCTGCCTGCCAGCCTTCCCTTTGAGGGGGCACTAATGATGTCCTGGCCCTGTGTGGGTTACATTCGCTGGCTCACACTCACCCTTCCTTCCTTCCTTCCTGCCATCGAAGCATTCTGACAATATTTGCACTTTTCCATTTGGCTAAACGCCGTCCCACAGCTCCCAGAGCTGTCCCAGTTGAACCTTAATTGTTCCTTTTGTCAACTACTACTCGGAGTAATTAAAAACACCTTTCAACTGTCGAGTCGAACGGGGAGAAAGGCTCAGTGAATGATGTCCTGGCAGTAAGAGCGTTCTGTTTGATTAGCAAATTTGTCAAATTTGTGGCCCAAAATCCATTTGTCAAACTCCTAATGATTTTCCCAAAAGAGAAATCTGGGGAGAGAGAGAAATCTTCAACTAAACTCGAAGATTTTGCGTAATTTACATATGCGGGTAATTTAGGCAAACAAAAAAATTAATTAAAACCGCAAAGCGGCGACGAGAGCACAATTAATTTTCAATTTGAGTCGCATAAACATTTTAATTGTTTGTCTGCAATTTAGCTGGCACAACAACACGAGTGAACAGGCAAACATATGTTGGCGGAAGATGGAAATGGAAATGGAGATGCCTCCTTTTGGCCACATAACCATATGTACTCCGATTCAGATTAACGCCGCGGGCACGCTCCAAGCGTCGGGATGGGGGCCAGCTCCATGAATTTCAATTCGCTACCCCAGGCACACACTCACACATATCTCTGGTCTCATTTATGCCACAAAGCGTAAGCAAACTTTCGAGGCGGCAATAAAATCGCAAGACGCCATGTTTAACTGCCGCACAGCTTCCGCAACCACTAAACTCACATGGCGCACATCCTGCCCATACATTTAGCATCCTATTTGCATATGTGTATGGCAAGTAGAACCTGGAGGATGGATGGATGGAGTGCCGGCTTCCTTGTCATATTTCCATTAGCATTTTGCCATTTAACTCATCCTTGGTGTGGGTTTTTGGGCGCTGCTAAGTGTATCATCTCGCCTTGCCGCATTTATTACCCATATTCGAGCATCCGGCTTTTATCCTTTCGCTCCTTCGCGTTCCAACACGCAGCATAATTGCCGCCTTTGGCGCTTCCTCCATTGTCACGGATGAAACTTTATTACTGCCTTTTGTGCAACGTGGCGTATGGGTAATGGCATCCTTGGTGACAAAATCACAGTATGGGATATGGTATAAAGTTGCAACTAATACTATATATTACTATTACTAAGAGATTACTAATTCTTGACCCACATCCATTAAGAGTAAAGAACTTAACCTCGAAAGCCAGCAAAAAAGAGAAAACCAAGTGGAGAAGCTACTGATTGTTGAACTCTTGAACTGTATCGGGACTTAATAGAAACGCAATCAAATAATTGCGCAAAGTGTGCCACAATCAAATATAGCAACAAATTAGCCAAACGCCAACACCAACCAAGTTTTCCCGCTGCGAATCGATAAAGGCGGGGGTAGGGAGAGAGGGGTTTGACCAAGAAAACCGCAGAGAAGACATTACAGAATTATCCAGTTGGTGGATGTGGATGGATCGGGCAGGCCGAAAAGCGATAAGTTTACAATTGCTTATGACTTCAATTAATCTGTGAAAGCGCCTACGCAGAAGGCGCACGGGAGGGGAAGATGGAACAGGGGGACTGGTCTGGGATTGGGGCCTTCGATGTCTGTCGATGTCGATGGTGAATTCGCCAGCACGAAAATAGGAAACTATGAAGAGAAAAACCGAAAATAGAAATTGCAATTGAACTGGGCAAGAACTGGCTGTTTGGCGTTGGAGCAGGTCTGGTTCTGGTTGCGGTTCTGGGTCCCAGGTTTTTTCGGTCCCAGACCGCAGCCAAGACAATTGACCTGGAGCTACACTGAAGATGTGCCCGGGCCCCGGGGAGTGGATGGGCCTCCGAGGTTCATGTCTGGCGGAGGAACGGTAAATTGCTTAGTCACTGGCCAGCTCCCATCTGCGATCTGCAGGCGGCGATTGTGATCACGATCATTATAATTATTTGACTTTGGCATTATTATCAAAATGGAATCGCATGCATGTCCGCATCTCGGATCCTCGGATCTCCAAAACTTGAACCCGCACGCATACCCGAGGGTCTATTCCACACCCACCACATGAGTGGCATCCACTGGGGTTTTCCATGGGATCTCCTATTTGGCCCACATCTGATTTCAATCATGGAACGATTTACATTTGCTGCAATTATTCGGGCTGCCTGATTATGTCTGTTACAATTCCTGCAGGTGTTTGTGAATCCTTTTCCGCTTCATTTTCAATTCACGCAAATGGATTCCCCGATTCGCGGCACACATGAGGCTCGGCCAGGTGCTCAAATTGCCCAGGTACAAGATATATCCGAGAGTTCCATCCAAAGGAAGGGGTTAGGCGAGCAGAGTTCACGGCCAGCGAACGTGTGTGCTCACCGGACGCATCTTCATCTCATCTCGATTGCAGTTGCACCTGGGCATCCGTGGCTACTGGAGATGCAGTGAAGCTGGAGCTGGAGCTGAAGATGGAGCTATATTTTGGCCAGCCCCTGGATATGTGCGGATGTCATTTGGGCCACCTTTGAACTCCTCACGCGCCTCCTGAAAATGATGAAAGCGCCGCATCTAATGGGAAAAATGGTAAGACACTTTTTTCTCCATATTTTTTACATTTTTGTTTGCTTAGGGAAAATTGAAAAGTTGATTAAGCTTGAGCGTACAATTCGAAAGTGAGTTTAAAATTAGAAAAATACAAGTTGAACTTAAACTTTGACCTGGTGAAAATGATTAAATGGAATAATAAGGTATTATTTAAAAGCCAGGGTGAGTTTTGGTTCATAATTATTCTATTAAGGGGTCAGGAACCTACTTTAAAGCTTTTTTTTACCTTAAACATTTTTAGATTTACTAAATAATAAAATAATGTAGGGGATATATTATACTAAAATATTCATATTACCATTTTTTATACCATAATTTCTACAGTCATGGTCATGCTCGCTCAGCTCATGCATATAAATCATTTGAAGAGCCATTAAACGGCAGCGAAAAAATCGCAAATAAAAACATGTCATTGTGAAAACAGCAAAATGGGTCTAAAACATAAAATTTAAGATTTGTGTCCGAAAAGAATACTTTGCACGGTGCTGAGGACCTGTGACCAGTGACCAGGGGCCAGAGCATAGAGCACAGAGCACAGAAGCGGCCATAAAGTGGCTTTTACGGCCACCGGGCTGGAGGCGAAACCGAAGACCAAGTCGAGATGATAAATTGTTCACCGCGGCCACTTGGCTTGTTGGACGTTTGTCGATTATTTCCCCGGATTTGCCTCTTTTTTTTGCGTTCATACTATACCCTGGCCAAGCAGGTCGACAACTTTTCACTGCCGACGACACTAACGGCTACCATAGATCAGATCCGACCTGGCCGAGGACTCGGACTCGGACTCGGACTTGGACTGGCGGTTCTTCTCCGGCGGCTGGCCGAGGAGCATTAGATTAGACAATTTGTTGGGACTCTGTGGCGAACAGTTTGTGCCTGCAAGCGCCAGGGTCGAGGCTGTGTGGAATTTATCACTCCTCCCAAAACCCTCCTCTGCGTGTTAATTGAAAATTGTACGGTAATGTTGCTTATCGCGCGGCTATCAGCCGGCAACGTCGTCCCCAAGTCACAGACCCACACTGGAAACAACATTATAGGGAGCCTTTTGCTTTAGAAACTATGAAAAGCAAACCCTAAACATATCCGCATTGCTTGTTGTTATTCCTAATCTTATAATAATTCTTCCAGTGCAGCTCTCCTCCTTCGTGCATATCTTTGGGGCTTGCGTGCACCGCGACCATGTTCGTGGGCAGCCTGCCACACCTCGGGACACCTTGGGACACCACCACCACGCATCGATTGGTGGCTCATGGTACACTGTCGCATTTGTGTGTGGCTTGTGGTGAAAATTTCTAACGCTTTTTGACAACTTTTTGGGGGAAACGCACTTAAAGACAATTTATCGCCGCTGACATTTTTTGTGACTTTAATTGCCGCTCACGGAGAGCCGATCGCAGTTACCTGTTGCGGTCCGGCAGCTTCTTTTCTATGGATTTTTTTGGGCTTAGCTGGGTAAGCGTCGCCTTAGACTGGTAAGCGGCTGACACGATTCGGGCTTAATTGCTTTTTTCACCCAGTATTGATGATGGATCGCCCAGCGATTGAGAGACTCGAAGCTCAGAGCACCAATCTCCAAAAAATCCAAAGGGAGTCCGGAAGTTGGTAAACGCCAACTGCCTTCATTTAATGAGACTAATTTTCCACTTTTCAAGAGGCTAAGTCGAGGCAGTTCAGAGTAATTTAACATGTAAGCAATTTAAACACATCATAATGTATATTTAAGGGGCTAACACGCTTCCAAACCTATTTAAACCCCAACTTAAGCTCTAGAACGAGATCATTCCTAAGGCACCGAGATGCTAACGATACATTTGCTACTGACCGCCGGAATACTGGTTTGGGTATATTTCTTATGGAGTCGACGGAGATATTACATGGTGATGCTGAAGTTGCCGGGACCCATTGGATTGCCCCTAATTGGAATTGCCTTGGAATTGTTCATTCATAAAAGTAAGTTGACCAATTAATCTTGAATATATTAAAATTTCTGCGTTTTCAGTAAAATGTAGTGTATTCACGCGTATTCTTAATAAGCACGGCTCTACCGTATTCACCTGGATTGGCCCCGTGCCAACCTTAATTACCAGAGACCCGAAAATGGTTCAGGACATCCTGACATCTCCCGAATGCATAGACCGAAGTTCGGTCGCTGCAAATGCTATGGTGACTAATTGTGGACACTCAATATTGACACTGTCAGGTATTGGATGTATGCATTAATCTCCTCCAGTAACCAATAACTTAGTATTATTTCTAGAACCCTTGTGGAGCGAGCGTCGTAAGCAGATGAATCTCGCATTTAAACAGAATATCCTGCTAAGCTTTTTTCCCACCTTCAACACTGAGACTAATTTGCTGCTAACTTTGCTGGACTCTCATGCAGGCCAAGGAGAAAAGGACCTGTTCACAGATGTGCTTAGGTGGTCGTTTGCAATAGCATTTCGTTAGTAGTCGGAGACTTAACCCATTACTCAAAGAAATTGAAATATATTATCTATGTGCAGAGACCACCGTGGGCGCTGATATCCAGCAAGAAGAAGGTTTTAAGAACGACATGCTCCTAAAATGCTTTCAGTCGTAAGCAAAAGTACACCTCCATTATCCACTATCATTATCATTGATTGCATTTTCTTAGGGGCATAAAGCTAGCCACATTAAATATAGCTGTTCCCTTGACCCAAATCGGTGTTATTGCCAAGTTAAGCGGAAATGAAAAGCAAAGAGCCAAAAGCTTTGCTACGGTGCACCCAGTGTTTGATTCAGTATGCCATTATCGTAATTTTAAAAATTATACGTAATTAAAATCCTTCCCTTTTCAGATCATTGAGAAGAAGCTTAGCTCCAATGCGGATAATAGCTCGGAAACGGATGTAAAATTGGTTATCGATCGAGCCATCGGCTTGTACAAAACAGGGAAAATATCCTGGGCGGAAGTGCGAAGCGAGTGTTGCATTATGGTGCTCGGTTCCTTTGAGACAACAGCCCTCGCGGTATATCACGCTCTCACGCTGCTGGCCATGCATCCCGAATTCCAGGATACGGTATACGAGGAGCTCAATGAGGTCTATCCAACCAGAGGAGACTTCGATGTCGCCTACGAGGATCTGCAGAAATTAGTTTACTTGGAGCGCGTAGTGAACGAGACACTGCGCTTGATACCATCCATTCCTTCAGATTTAAGGGAACCTTCGAAGGATTTCCGCCTTTCGTCTGGAGTTATCATACCCAAAGGAGTCATGATAATCATCGACATATTCAACACACACCGGAACCCGGAGATCTGGGGTCCGGATGCCTCCAAGTTCAATCCGGATAACTTTCTGCCGGACAACGTGCGTGCGAGGCATCCTTATGCCTTCATTCCCTTCTCGAAGGGCAGGAGGAACTGCATAGGTTGGATTAATTTTTTCTTAAAAAGTTTATGCTTTTCAATTAATTTATTGTTATGATTCACAGGCTGGAGATATGCACTTCTCTCTTCAAAGCTTGCCTTGGCCAAGATCCTCAGGAATTTTAAGGTGAGCACAAGCTTTCGCTATGAAGATCTGGATTTCATTCAAAATGTAGGAATGAAACTGACCGAAACACCAACGCTGGCCTTTGAACGACGTATTTAGGGTAATGTTGATTGTTTTTTATATTAACTGTTGAAAAATGTATAATATTAATAGGGGATAATAAATAAAAAAGCTTGTAACTCTGTGTAGGAGTCATTTCCAACCCTAAAAAGTATATATGTTCTTGGTCAGTATCAGTATACCCTAGTCGAAGAAGAACGTGCATAGGTAAGACCAATATAACCTACTCATAAGATATTCTATCCGTAGGAAGTATTTATTTATTTGCAGTAAGTAAATCCAAACAAAAATACAAAAAAAAGGTTCCACAAACTTTCCGAAAGCAAAGCAGGCCTTATCGGACAGGCCAGCCCTGCTGTCCCCTTAGGGTTTCAGTCACAACATCAATCTAAAATGAACACCATTTCGATCTGGACCTTTTTCTAAATTCAACGTTTACCACAATGTTGGCTCTGGTCAGGAGTGCTTGGGGTGGCCAATTGATGACCCGCCTGGCTACCATGGAGGGCTGGTGCTCATACTCTAAGAGCCCCAAAAGAGCGGCGAGTCAGGGCAAGTACAAGATCGTTATGTTGCGCCACGGAGAGTCAGAGTGGAACCAGAAGAACCTATTTTGCGGCTGGTTCGATGCAAAGCTGAGTGAAAGGGGCCAGATGGAGGCCTGTGCCGCGGGTCTTGCACTCAAGGAGGCCAAGCTAGAGTTCGATGTGGCTCACACCTCGCTGCTGTCCAGAGCCCAGCACACGCTGTTTGCGGCTCTGAGGATTGCCGAGCATCGGAGGATCCCAATATGCTGCAGTTGGCGCCTTAACGAGCGCCACTACGGTGGTCTGACGGGTCTGAACAAGGCAGAAACCGCCAAGAAGTACGGCGAGGATATGGTGCAGATATGGCGTCGTAGCTTTGATATCCCGCCGCCGGCCATGAACGAGGACCACGAGTACCATGCTTGCATTGTCAAGGATCCGCGCTACAAGGGCTTCCTGGAGCCCGCGGAGTTCCCCAAGTCAGAGTCCCTCAAGCTCACCATTGAGCGGACCCTGCCCTACTGGAACGAGGTAATTGTGCCGCAAATCAAAGAAGGCCAGCGCATCCTGATCTCCGCACATGGCAATAGCCTGCGGGGATTGATCAAGCACCTGGAGTCCATCTCCGACGGGGACATCATGGGTCTCAACCTGCCCACGGGAAGACCATTCGTCTATGAGCTGGACGAAAACCTGAAACCGCTGGAAACTCTAAAGTTTCTCGGAGACCAGAAGGTGGCCAAGAAAGCCATGTTGTCGGTGGCCAATCAGGGCAAGGCCAAGTAGTCCTGGCAATAATTCGGGAAGGGTTACTCTCCTCCGGCGAAGGTCATTCCAATCAAGCTCAATGCACTTGTATGCCAAACAAAAATAGCAGATCGAAGGCGTCCAGAGAACGGGGAAATGGTAGTGGAAGCCCAAGGCGAATGTCAAGCAGCAAATAAATTTATTTGATTTTAATTGACAATGAAGAGTCAACAGCGACTGGTCTCTCTCTCTCTGGGTCCCAGGGTCCGGACTGGGTCTGGGTCTGGGTCTGAGCCAAAGTCCAGCCGTATTTATATGTGTTTCCATTGCGCTCGTTTAAGAAATCAGGGAATCGAGTGTGTCGCGTCAATTTTAATTGCTGCGGGATGAGTCCGCGCAGCCTCTGGCATTCCGAACGGGTCGACATTTAATTTGTTTAAATGAAATACTCATTTGGGTTTTATTGACAAACAAATTGAATTGATTGATCTAAATGAATTTATAGGGTGAGCTGCTGGCCGAGATGCGTAGTCTCCTCTGGGATGCTGGGCCCGAGGAGGCTTAGTCTTTGCCGCATTTGACCCGCTTGGAGCTGTCCCTCTGGGGGTTCACCCGGGGCCAGATTTTCCATGTTATGCCCGAGCCGAGCGTGGCGAGCTTTGATCCAGTAAATTGAGAGCGTGAAACGAGCTGCGCGGGGGCATGGGCCCAGCTACATAGGTTCGGATGATGGGACCTGTGTCGGCCAGAGGATCCATAGTGCAAAAACCTAGCGTGAGCTCCACATTATTTGAACTTAATTACACAGCCGCGTTCGAGGCGAGACCGAAGTTGAGCCTGGAGTTGGAGTTGGAGTTGGAGTCGAAGTTGGAGTCCAAGTTGGAGTCAAAGTCGGCGCCCCGTTAAATCGTTTCCAACCACACATACCAAACGCAGCATAGAAACGGCGGGAACATAAAAATGTTTGCACTTCGTATTTGTCGCGCATAAAATCTAATATCGAATTACAGGCCCGGTCTTCAGGCCCTCAGTTCAAAAAGAGAGAGAGAAGTTCGAAGGAGGAGCTGCGGCCTGCGTGACTCCGATGGAGACTTTGTGGCAAGCTCCTCCCCGCCAGCTCCACCTCCTGCGACCATAAAGAAACTGAATTGAGTTAAATGCGCGATAAATTGCTTTTTGCATTTATCATGGTGCCTTGGCAGGCGGCAGGCGGCAGCCGGGGATCCGCTGGAACCGAGCCAAGTCTAGCCTGCCCAGACTGCCCAGGCTACTCCTCGCAGACTGCCACCTCTTTGGATGTGGCGAATATTGAACAAGATTTTTAATTAGTCGCCAAAAGGATGTGGGGAACGGGAGGAAACCCAGAAGAACTCAGAAGACTGCGAGGAATTTAGTCAAGTTCGGTTTGGTTTATTTATGCTCTGCGAGACTGTATTTATTGGGCCAGGTCCTGGTTGATCACCTGGGCTATGTAGGCCAGAAAACTGGACACTCTGGTGTACACGTCTGGTCTGCCCTGGGCACAGGTGGAGGAGCCGTAGGATACAATGCCCACCAGGTGCGGATGAGGACCGGCCTTGATTAGAGGTCCTCCAGAATCCCCCTGAATCACATTAATAAAGTAAAGTTAAAGTGAAAGTAACCACTTTCTCGCCACAAAAAAGGAGGCTTTAAGCAAGACTGTTGCCTTACCACACATGCTCCTTGACCCTGGATAGCCAGGGCACAAATCTCATTGCGAGTAACCCGGAATCCTTTCTGGTTGCACTCCTCGTTGGATATGGTTCGATAGTTTAGGGACTGGAGTTTATCCGGCAGAGTGGCTGAAGAAGTGGACGGCGTGGTGGAGCCCCATCCAGTGAGGCGAACGGGCACCTTCTCGCCGATGCGATCGGACCCACCGAGTTGAATGGTGGCTATATTTGATCTCTCTAAGCGGAACGGTGGTGTTACCCTTACCAGGGCAATATCGTTGATGATCCTTGGACTCATCGAGTACTGCGGATGCACATGCTTGGCCAGCACACGGTGCCGCACTCCACCGGACTTCCAATTGAGTGTTCCAATCACCACGCTGACATCCTCCACCTTCATCTTCTCCATGCAATGGGCTGCTGTCAGGACATGCTGGGCACTGACTATGGAACCGCCACAAAAGTGCTGCCAGCGTCCTCGCCTCTGCATCTGCAGAGAGACCTGAAAAGGCACGGTCTCGTTCACCAATTGTCCACCATTTATACGCGGCGGTGGATCAGAGCTGTCCAGGATCGGGGACGCCTCATCAGCGACGGATTCCCGGAGAATCAGGAAGAGGCAAACAAGTCTCAGGAGTGTCATTATGATACTATTTCCCTTATACAGCAAGTGAGTTTGATTGACTTGCACCTGCAGTCAGTGGTTTTTATACTTTTTGAGTGCAGTCTTATCATTTATTTGGCAGTGCAAACATGTAAATGCCAGTGATCTTGAAAACGAGAGTAATGTGGGTTGAGTTTGGATAACCTTCACATAAACCCTAATTAAATGTATGAATGTACACTTTAAAAGAAGTTCAAACTTTATATAACAGAAACTCTTCTATGAAAATGTCCTTCAATTGAAATTACATTAAATGCTTAATTCCCTAATATGATGGCTTTATTAATCCATTATTTTCCGATCCCTATGCACTCGAATCTGGACTTATAACTTATTTTGAAACAGTAGTAGGATCTCCTGCTGATCGGTTCCTTGCTGATCAGGTATCCCTGTTGCGTGCTTGGTTACCATAAGCTGGCCTGGATCGCTAGATGCCATCATATGTGGCTGGGATGACAGAAGCGCCTACCTGTTGTCATCAATTAGGTAACAAGCTCACGCGACCGATAAATATTAAGCTCTAGCTCTAGCCTCAGCCACCGTATCTGCAGCTGTATCTGTATCTGCATCTGCATCTGCGTTTGTATCTGTATCTGTATCTGTGACTGGGTATCTGTCTCTGGTCGCTGCTTTGTGGCATGATCTCTTATCTGAGTCGCAAATAAAATCTGTTTAATTTTGCCCAATGCTCTCCGGGCCAGAGCCCCCGATGCCAGATCGCGGCATGTGTTGGAGGCGAGAGTCATAATTTATAAGACCAGTTGGGAACCGAACCTCGTGGCGCGATGCTGGGCAAATTAAGTACTGGAATAAACGACCAATTTACTGATTATGCAAAACACGCAATTAATTTTCGCACTCGTTTCCAAGCGGAAAATTAATTGCCAGCGAGAGCGGAAAACTCATTCCGCGAGCCAAGCGGATCCCGTTTGTTTATGTTTTTTATTTTGGCCGCAGTCATAATCATTAGCATACAGGTCGAACTAGGGGAACTTTTCCACTATCCTCCGACCGTTTGACTCTGATATTGAGATATAATTCCCTTTCACTACTACTGAGCTACTGGATATTTCATGAGAGGCCTATAAAACGCCAAGAGATCATAAAACCAGCGGCTCTGGCTTATGAAGTCAGTCCATAAATCACGGCAAAGACGGAAAAACGAGAAAACAAGTCCCGAAAACAAAAGACCATAAAAATTGCACCGACCATGAGGGCTCACTTCTGGTTCTGGGCCACACGCACAATTCCACCGAAGTTGGCCGCGCGAACATGGCCATGAATGAGGCCCAGATCGGAGACAGGCAGGCAGGCAGAAAGGCAATCAAACAAAATGTCATAATAATGATGGCGTCCCGGCGCATCAGACGGACATGGACCTGGGCAGGATGCTTATCTTGTCAACACCGAGCCGATCCGATCTTAAGACCCCTGGAGAATGGCCAAGGAGGATGTGGCCTGGAACATGACTGATGGAATGATTAAAGTGCATTTTATTAGTGCGAATTTTGCAACAGTTTGGAAGATGGATCACAAAGCTTCATCAGTTTGTTGCAGTTGAAGTTAAGTTTAAGTTTTTTGGTATTTGTAGCATTGAATAACCTTTTGTGAAGTTCTTTAATTTAAAATGAATTAAAAAAGAAAAGTTAATCTATCCATATCCTGGGCTAGAACAAAGCCTAATGAGTTTATACAGGGATTAACCCGTCAAGCTGAAGTAACACCCAGGCACATATGCAAATGAGCTTTAGGAATTAAGCATAAAAATCCGCAGATAAGTCATGCCTTGACAGGGTGGTCCAATTAACATGGGAGGCATGAGGCGACGACAAGACAGGCGCCAGAGTCTTGGTTGGGGCAACATCCGCAGACACATCCTGTGGACCAAGGTGCGGTTCGATTATAATAAAGCCATTTCGGGTTCAAATCGGTTCGCTGGCTTGCAGCACAGAGCCACTGCATCGAGACCCAGGACAATTAACACAGTAGTCCAAAGATCAAGACCTCAACGGACAAGAGCGGACAGAACGCGAATGGAATTGCCACGAAACCGAGAGGTGTGCATAATTAATTTACGCCAGTGCGCCACACACACAGTCCCAAGGAGGAGGAGGACTCAGTCCAGATCCAGCTACACCCAAAATGATTCATTAGCTGGATGCAATCAGGCCCCGGAACTGACACATGCACCTCCGACTGTGTCTGTGTCCGGGACTCCAACTTCGATACCAGAGCCCGCCCAGACATCAAGCAGCAAAGGAGTGAGGATACGAAACGGGGGCTGATTTGCATCGAACACGTGAGATTCCCTGGAGCAGCAGCTGCTGCTGGACTGCCTCCGAGGTGTCCGAGGTGTTGATTGCCAGCGGCAGGTCTGCTCCTCTCCCCTGGTCCCTGCCCCGGCCACAGTGAATTAAAAGAAATGTCCGCTGTCGTTGCAGGCGCTGCTTGTTTAATCGGAATATTTAAATTATTCGCTGATTAAAACCCCAAGACAGATCGGTCCGAATGGAGCGGGTTCTGTCTGGCTTCTGCCTTGGTCTGATTTCGATTCTTCTGGCTGCCTTTACGTAGGAGTACGATTCTCAAGAATCGCGGAAGCAGATTCACCCTACTCCCCAGCAGTTGAAGAGTGAATCTTTTCTACAAATGGAGATGGAAGAGTTGGGATTTTGTGGCTTCATTGCTGCATATTCATATGTCTTACTTAGAGTTTAGCCTGACTTGGCTAACCAACTGCCAGTTGCAATCGCTTGGCGCACTGCTATCGCCGCCCAGCGACCTTGTAACCCATTACACGAGGTGAGACGACCGCCCACAGCTGCACTCGATAAAATTCAAATGAATCGCACAGAACGAAAAACTCCAATTAATTGGGCCTCAAACCTGGTATATAAACCTCGGATGCAATGCTAGTTCTAAGCTCAGTCACACCATGAACGGAGTAACTTCTTTTGTGCTGCTCTTGGCAGCTCTATTGGCTTTCGAGGTGGTCGATAGTAAGCCCATGGGTAACGTCATTGACTGTAAGTTTAACTCTATAAATACTTGGGAAATTATTCTATATCTAAATCTCCAACCTTATTCAGTGGACAAGTTCTTTGAGGAGGCAGACACTAATTCCCAGGAGCGCGTAGTGGGCGGCTATGATGTGCCGGAGGACGAGTATGTTCCCTACCAGGTCTCGATGCAGTTCCTCACTCGCAACGGCCAGAAGCGACATTTCTGCGGTGGTTCCTTGGTGGCTCCAAATCGTGTCCTTACTGCCGCTCACTGCGTCAATGGCCAGAATGCCAGCCGGATTAGTGTGGTGGCCGGTATCCGGGATCTGAATGACTCCTCCGGCTTCCGATCGCAGGTGCTGTCGTATGAGATGAACGAGAACTACCAGGAGCTGGTGACCAGCGATATAGCCATTCTAAAGATTGACCCTCCATTTGAGCTGGACGAGAAGCGGGTCTCCACCATAGATGTGAGCAGCTCGGATCTGGTTGGCGCTGATCAGGAGGTCCTGCTTACCGGCTGGGGTTCGGTCTTTCACTTTGGCACAGGACCCTTTGCCAAGTATCCTACGGTGCTGCAGAAACTCAACTACAAGACCCTGAGCAATGCCAAGTGCAAGCAGACCATGACGCAGTTGACGGACACAGAGATCTGTGCCCTGGAAAGGTTTGGCAAGGGGGCTTGCAATGTGAGTTTGGATACCATATAAACTTTATAAATATCCCAACTAATATTTCCTATATTTTAAGGGCGACTCTGGCGGCCCTCTGGTGATGAAGAGTGGTGAGACCTTGCGTCAGGTGGGCGTCGTTTCCTACGGCACCGCTTTCTGTGCCTCCAACAGTCCCGATGTCTACACCAGAGTGTCCATGTTCGATGGTTGGATCAAAGAGAGAATGGCCTAACCGGAGAATATTCATTGATTCATAAATAAAGAAACATCTATCTGAAATAGAAACTTTCTCTCAACTACACAAATTCGTAATAAGGCTAAGTGGGTTACGTTTGCCAGCAGAATGAACGGCTCATTATAATTTCAATTTCAAGAGCAAATATAATGGCATAAGCAAGTGGCCCAGATATGTGCGATATCTATGCAAATTGCCTGTCTAATGGGGGCCAAGTTTTTATTTAAGAAGCGCGACAGTTCCAAAACCATCGGCATTAACCATTAACCAACGATGGGTCTGACTGAGCTGCTGTTGATTGGAGTACTGAGTGTGGGAGTCGCTTTGGGCCGATTGAACTGTGAGCTGCGATGGGAGTTCCATTTGACGCATTCACTTAATAAATGTCTCTTCCTGCAGCCCGACAACCCAGCGGTTATACACCGCATCGCATTGTGGGTGGCTCCGATGTTCCGGCTGGAGAGCACGTTCCCTACCAGGTCTCCCTGCAGTATAGTACCAGCGGAGGTCAGATGCATTTCTGCGGTGGCTCCATAATCGCCCCCAATCGCATCCTAACTGCCGCCCACTGTTGCCAGGGTCTCAATGCGAGCCGCATGTCCGTGGTGGCAGGCATTCGGAACTTAGACGAACGGGGATCTCGCTCCCGGGTCTTGTCCTACAGAATTCATCCCCAGTACCAGGAGCTGGTTACCAGCGACATAGCTGTCTTGTCCATTGACCCGCCGCTGAAGTTTGACAATGACAGCATTAGTGCTATCGAATTCAGAGGCAAGCAGTTCGTGGGCGGCGGCGTTCCCGTAACCCTGACGGGTTGGGGCCTTCGGCTGCCAGTGCCCTTTCCCTTCCTGGACAACGTCAACTATCCAAACACTTTGCAACGGATGAGTTATAACACCATCACGAACAGGGAGTGCAGGGATGCGGGCATGGAGGACGTTACGGATACGGAAATATGCGCCCGGGGTCCTTTCAGGGGTGCCTGTTCTGTGAGTCTCAGGGTGGCTTTTAGATAACTCCCAGGATCTCATTGTTTACTCTACTTTCAGGGAGATTCTGGAGGACCACTGGTCACAACGGACAAGGGACTGAAGCAAGTGGGCATAGTATCCTACGGCCTGGTTGTTTGCGGTCTGTTTATCTCGCCTGATGTCTACACCCGAGTGTCCACTTTCAGCGAGTGGATTGAGGGCCAATTGGAATCCTAGATCCGATTTATTCACTTGCAGGAAACATAAATTTAACACATAATTGAAACAAATAAATCCGTGCTGTCCACATTACTCGGCTGCCTCTTCGGCGGGGGCGGGCGCCTCTTCGGCTGGCGGTGGTGCCTCCTCCGCCGGTGGGGCCTCTTCGGCCGGTGGTGGAGCTGCCTCTTCGACGGCTGCTGGAGGTGCCTCTTCGGCGGGTGGTGGAGGTGCTGCCTCCTCGGCCGGAGCAGGTGGTGCTGCTTCGGGGGCAGCAGGTGGTGCCTCCTCGGCCGGCGGCGCAGCCTCTTCTGGGGGTGGTGCCTCTGCTGCTTCTGCCGGTGGTGCTTCTGACGCCGGTGCTGCTGGTACTTCCTCTGGCGGAGGCTCTGCTTGAACTTCCTCTGGAAGAGCAGACGCTGTTGTTTGCAAGCCAGCTGCTGAAGGTTGAGCGGTGGGTGCGGCAGTTGCCGTCGCTGTTCCCGCAGCTGTTCCCGCAGCAGTTCCCGCTGCAGTTTCCGCTGCAGTTGTCGCTGCAGTTGTTGCTTGTGTGCCCATTGCCGACATTTCTGCATTCGTTGCCACAGTAGTCGAGGATGCGGTTTTATCGAGTGAACGTGTACTTTCTGCACATGGATCTTTCACCGGTTTGCTGCTGGCACGCTACAAAATATGGAAGAGAAGCTCCAGGATTAGGATTCAATCCATCTATGGATAAGGAACTTTGTTATGTTCTCTTCATTTCCGGAACTCACCAGCATAACGCTGCGGAAGAAGCGCTGAAGCACAAGAGCAGCTTCATTTCTGCGCCTCTCCTCTTCGTCGTCTTCCTTCTCCTGCGGGTGGAAGGATCCCAAGAAGGGATTAACACTCAAACCAGGAGGAATTAACCGATCAAATTACCGTGGCACAGGTGCACACACAGATATCCTTGGGGAACTGGGCGCGAACCCAATATCCTCGCCAAGCCGCCTGAATGGTGATCGCCGCCTGGTTGCGTTGAGCCATCTCGAGGCGCTTCAGCTCCCGGTCGCGGAAGTACTGGTAGAGCACCTCGGTGCCATCTGTGCCGCGCTGTGCGGACATGTAGGCTTCCACAAAACGCTTGTAGGCAGTGTCAATGGCCGGACGCGACATATTGAGCTCCTCTTCGGTGAACTTGCACTTGGCCAACAGCTCCTCCAGCATGTCGACATCTTCGAAGTTCACCATTTCCTTGCCCCGACGCATATCGCAGCGGCGCTTTTCGAGGAAATTGATGAAGCACTCCTCAAGCACCTGGCTCATCAGCTCGGACTTCTCCCTGGACAAATCACAGATGCACAAGTCCGAGATGATGGTGTCCACTTGCCGCAGAGATCTTTCCAAAATGGACTTGGCCACTGATCAAGAGGACTTTGATTATTGAAAGACTAGCTTGAACCTTTGTCCAGGACAGTGTTAGCACTTACCCAAGGCCTTCTCCCTGGTCACGATCACCGAGTGAAGATAATCGATGATGAACTGACAGAGGCACTCCTTGGTCGGTTGGCAACGCAACACTTCGCGTGTTATATCTGACAAGAGTTCCGGAAGACCTTCCGGAACACTGATTGCCTGCTGGCGCATCTTACCGCGCTGAATTAGATAATTCATGTTGACTCTGTACTTATTTTACAAATTTAAAACAATCTTTGATATGTCGATATTCGACAATTTGGAACAGAGTACAACTTGGGGAGTAGGATGTATGAGTTTGGGCTAATGAAGGCTTTGAAATATGTTCAAACAAGTGCTGCCATGAGTGACAAGTAATACATGAAACACTCAATTTGTGTGCTGATATCGCCCCTAAAATTTTAATAAATTAATTTGGTATTTAAGGGTTAATATAAAAATAATAATATAAATTTGTTCAATGCTGCCTAAAAGTATACATAACTTTTCTAAGTGAGGTAACATACTTTGATATAAAAACAAGCTTTGTGATGGCACTTTGACTCCCTCTTTAATAAGATTGCTAATTAAAAATTAATTGTTTATAGCTTTAATGCTGGCCTCTTTTTTATTTACAAGAGCTATAAGTCCGATGGACTGCATTTCTTGCATTTTATAAATACAAAGTCCATCTTTAAAACCCTTTTACAACAATATGGAATGTGCCCTCAACAACACCTCGCAACACCTGCCAACAAAAGTGGGTGTGTATCGAGGATTTGCATTGCAAAATATTGCATATAGCGGGAATCGGAAATCAACGCGCTGTTGTTGGGTATATATATTTATTTTCAAAAACCATTGAACCGGCTTTCTCTTTCAATTCTCTCTGACCTTTAAACCGCCAACTCGGTAATTTTTTCCAAAAACAACAAAAGAAAAGCTCGAAAGCAAAGAACTTATGGATTTGCATATATAAAAGGCGTTGGGCCTGATGATAACAACCCTAGCATATTATACCTTGTACTATTTTGATATATGGTAAATAAATGTATTTCCTCTACAACTATTTTAATTTCAATTAAATTGCTTATTACGGAAAATATGTCATATTAAATAAATTGCTTAAATAATGCTACATTTATATGTAATTGGAAAATTATTTAAAAAATATGTAATATCTATTAGGTAACCCCCCTTAAAACACCCCATGGTACGCCTCTGTTTTCCTTGGCCCTGCTAAAAAGCTGCCCATAAAAGCTGTTCGTCTCTGATAGATTTGGATCCACTCGCTGCTTCACGAGCCCCACACAAAAAGCTCCAGCAGCGTCGATCGCAGCTGGCACCACGGGCTCTGGGATCAGTTGGACGAGCGCGAGAGCGGAGGAATGCAGCAGCTGATCGGAGTAGCGCGGAGGCTAGGTGAGGGTGTGACTCACTCCCGGCTGATCGTATCGCTTATCATATTTATGTGTCAGGTCAACGCTCTGCCGGAGCATGGAGCTGGGCCAGAGGAGGAGTAACCGTAACCGGTGGGAACAGAGGCATCGCCTGTCTGGCCGCACTCTCGGAGACCCATCAGATTCTCCAGAAGACCTGCCGAGACTTTGCCAATGCAGAATTGGCGCCTCGGGCCCGCCATCATGATCGAGAGGAACTATATCCGGCGGAACAGGTCCGCCGGTTGGGGGAACTCGGCCTTCTGTCGGTGGCGGTAAAGGAGGAATATGGTAAGTTTATAATACAAATTTATGCCTTACTTTCAGCACGTTCAGAATTATAATTAACTCAGTGGCAAAGCTTTTCTTCCATGCAGTGTTATTGTTTATGGAAATGAAAAAATTCTTTGAATAGTGATTGTCTAATTGCATAATATAAATATATCCATTCGATTTATAGTTTTTAGAAAGCTATTATCGGTACCGGAAATATATAAGCCAACAGGTTTAATGTTAATTGTACTGTTTAATTAATCCTGCAAGAAATTAACTTAAGATTTTGAGTATCTAATTATCGGATCTTATCCCCTCAGGTGGATCTGGATTGGACTACCAGGCCTATGCCATTGGCATGGAGGAGGTGGCCAGGGGAGATGCCGCCGTGTCCATTGTGATGGGTGTAAACAACCTGTTCCTGGGCGCAGTGCAGCAACATGGAACTGAGAAGCAAAAACAGGATTTCTTGGTGCCCTACACCCAGGGTGAACACATTGCCTTCTACGCGCTGTCGGAGCCCGGCAACGGATCGGATGCAGGTGCCGCCAGCACCACAGCTAAGCAGGAGGGAGATGGCTACCTCCTCAACGGAACCAAAGCCTGGATATCGAACTCAAAGGAGGCCAGTGGAGGTCTCGTCTTTGCCACCGTGGACAAGGCCCTGAAGCACAAAGGAATCACTGCTTTCCTCACGCCAAAGGATGTCGAGGGACTCTCCATAGCCAAGAAGGAGAGCAAGATGGGCATGAGGGCCAGTTCCACCTGTCAGGTGGTGCTGGAGGACGTCCAGGTGCCCAGTTCCCGTGTGCTTGGAGCCCCTGGTGATGGCTTCAAGATCGCCATGCAGTCACTGGACTGTGGCAGGATCGGCATTGCAGCCCAAGCAACTGGAATTGCACAGGCTGCCCTGGAATTGGCGGTGGATTACTCCCAGAAGAGGATCGCGTTCGGAAAGCAACTGTCACGGATGCAACTCATCCAGCAGAAGCTGGCAGAGATGGCCACCCGGGTGGAGACCTCCCGCTTGCTCACCTGGCGCGCCGCCTGGCTAAAGGACAACGGCATGCCCATCACCAAGGAGGCGGCCATGGCCAAGCTGCACGCCTCGGAGGCGGCCACCTACTGCGCCCACCAGTGCATCCAGGTGCTGGGCGGCATGGGATACACCACGGACTTGCCCGCCGAGCTCTACTACCGGAATGCCCGAGTCACGGAGATCTACGAGGGCACCTCGGAGATCCAAAGGATTGTTATAGCCAACGCCGTGCTCCGGGAATTTGGCAGAGAGTGACTGCAACAGAAACTAAGCCCCAAATATATGCATTTACTCACAGGAGAAATCTATTTAAGTTGTGATTAACTATTCTTACTATTCTATTAAATATTATTATATTTTTTCTTCTATATTTTTTTCCTATTTTTAATTCAGATAAATGCATTTATAGAAATATTTTTAAAACAATATAAATTGTTTTCGGAAAGCCGATATATACACTTGCAGTTTGCATTTAAAATATGGGATCGGATTGGAAATCGAATTTTTTAAATATTAAGCGAGATTCTTATGCGCAAATTTTTTAGACACGTTAAAGTTTAAAAAACGCAAAAGTACGCCAAAAAGGCATTAATTTTAATTCGGAAATCGCTCCAATGTTAGTTTTTGTAAGGTTTATAAATCTGCATACTGCGTTTTTAATTTTAAAAAATTACGATTTTTCAAATTTTTTTGAAATTTTAACGATGTAACCCCTTATAAAATATTAAAATTTTGAAAAATTTAATCTTTGCAGGACATGGCTAGATCGATTCAGCTTTTGATGCTGATCAAGAATATATATGATTTATAGGGTCGGAAATGACTCCTTCACTTTGTTACAAGCTTCTGACTAAAATTAAAAAACACTGCAAGGGTATAAAATCAATTAATAAAATATAATAAAGAATTAATGGTTTAAACTATTTTCCTAAATTCGTACCGGATAATTATTTATTTAAAATCATTTGTATATTCGGATAAGTTATACAACTTCTTTGACCAATTAGCAATGTTTCCCACCTTCTAATGTATGCATGTTCAACAATGTATCTGTAAATGTGTAAAATGGTTATCTACACGTGTAAAATGAAAGCAAGTTTTTGGAAAAAAAAATACTAAAATACTAAAAAATATCGCAACATCGATATTATTTTGAAATCAATATATTCACAACCCTAATAAAAATCCTATTTTTGTTTTCCAATGCAAAATTTAACGAATTAAATGACGGCCAACCTGTTGAACCTGAACGTGGACACGCTGTTCGAACAGCATGGCGTGTCCGAGATCGATGCCGTGCACAAGAAAATCCAGACTCTGGTGGAGAACAAACGCGAGGAGCTCCGAACCCATGTCGGGTGAGTGATGTGGCACTGCGACAGATAAAAACACTGACTAAACAACCTCCTAATCCCTGCAGGGAGCGGTACCGGGACCTGCTACAGGCGGCGGACACCATTGCGGCAATGCAGACGTCGGCCGGCACGCTCATCGAGCAGGTGCGTCACGTGCAGGCCAACTGTCGCAGCTTAAACGAGCAACAGCTCCTGGGCTTCCAGTCGGCGGCGAATACCACTTCAAGCACGTTAGACAGTCGCCCGGAGGCGGCGCTGCACCAGCGGAGCGCCGGACGAAAGCTGCAGACGTACTACGGCACCATGGCGCAAATCAAACTGCTCACCGCCTTGCCTGAACTGATCTGGACACATCTGGACAACGAGCGCTTCTACGCCGCAGCTGAGCTGTTCATCTTTAGTCGCCACATCAGCACCGGTCTGCAGCTGGACGGACAGAGTGCGCTGATGCAAAAGTTGCCCGTGGCTCGAAAGCAATGGGAGATCCTGCGTCCCTTCCATGTGACCATTAAGCAGGCGGTGTTGGCCGCTCTGGAGCGGGAGGAGCTGGTGCCCGAGGTAGCAGTGGACTGCTTGCAGAGTCTGCTGTTGCTAGACAAGAGCGATCTGGGCGCCGTGCTGCAAACATTTCTGGGTCTGCGCTCCTCGGCCTTTCTGAGCTGCCTTCAGAACAGACCCTCGGAGTCGCGTCGCGTCAAGGAGCGTATTCTGGCCAGCTTGGGCGTACTGAACGATACCGTGGAGCTAATAGACAAATGTCTGCTGAGTAAGTGGATATTTATTTGTGGAATTTGTTGTGACTTGTGGCCACACCCTGCATTTCTATATTTCTACATATATCTATTTCAACAGATGATGGCCTTCTGTTTACCCGACTGGCGGACTGTGCCTCCTCCACGTGCCCGCCTAGCATCAACCGGATGGAGAGCGGCGAGAGGCAGCTGGCCCACCTGCTGCCAGACATTATCGCTGGCTTCAGGCCACAGTTTGAGGTTCCTCAGCTGACACCTGAGCAACTGGGCGCTGCCCTTAAGCAGTGGCTGGACAAGATGAACGCCCTGGCAGCGGCTCACCTGCAGCAGGTCTTCGCATTAGTCAGTAACATGCAGACCATTCAGGACATCAAGTCGGCAGCCAGGTCAAATGGAAGGCCAGACTTTGCGCGCCTAGAAGAGCAACTACACTTGGAGCCCAGCCAACTTGACTTCTACTCTCGCAAGTATGTGCCACTAATCAACGCCCGTGTGCGAGAAATTATACGCAGCAGCTGGGCGGCGGCCATGAAGCAGACCTACGAGCGGATTCTGGTGCTTATCGAAGCCGGGCAGGTACAGGCGCCGCTTGAGATATGGCGAGAGCAGAACGACGACCTGCCCCTGAGCTTGGCGGCGGCTCTCAGCGACCAACCGAAGCGGTTGGCTAACCGGACGAAGGGATACGATGGGGCCACCGGGGAGCTGTGCAAGCAGTTTGACTCACAACTGGCAGATATTGTCCAGGAGCTGAATGTAATGCTGCAGGAGCAGACAACGCGGTCGGAGGACAAACTCTCGCTAATCACGTTCCTCCGCGAGACAGCCCAAGAGCAGCTTACCGAGTATCTGAGCAATTTGAAGGGACTGCAGTTGAAGGAGCGCCCTGCACTGCTCCTGGCTCTGCGTAACAGTCTGGCCTTGGTGGAGTTGTGTCCCAATCTGAAACTGTGCTTCTGCCAACCCTCCAGTTGGAGACAGTGGACAGCGAACGTAGCTGGTGTGGGCATCGAACACTGGCAGCGCATTTGCGGTCTAATCGAAGAGGAAATGCTTAGCTTCTGGCTGCTCATCGTAGACGATGTGCTGGCGAGTTGCAGTTGCGAGGACAAACTGCCGAAGGTCATCAACCACGAAGTGGTCTTGAGGGATTTTGCGGTAAGTATACATATACCTTTGCAGGGTATTATAAATTGTGTCAGAAGCTTGTAACGAAGTGAAGGAGTCATTTCCGAACCTTTAAATCATATATATTATTGATCAGCATCAACAGGCGAATCTTTCTAGCCATGTTGGAAAGATAATACATTTTTGCCAATTTTTTCAAAATTTTATAAGGGGTTAAATCGCTAAAATGATAAAAAATTTACAAAGAAAATTAAATGTTAAATAGAGTATGCAGATTTTTTAACCGGTTAAAAACTAACATAGGAAAATTCTCCGTATTGAAATTACGGATTTTTTGGCCTAGTTATGAGTTTTTAAACTCTGATTAAATACCTATAACTCAACTACAAACTGGAAGGAAGATAGTTTTCTGTCTAGTTTTAATTTTTTCCTATATTAAAAATATTTCATTGATATTTTTTTAATATCTTTCAGCTCTGGCAGACCTTGACACTGGAGCAGCGTGACGAGGAGCAGGACAAAAGTGTCCAGTCAACGATTCGCATTCCTAGCCAACCGCGACACTCCCTCCAAACGTACCTACATCAATTGATCCAAGCACTAAATATGGCCGTTCCCCAGACCTTGCCACCCAAAGTGTTGCACGCCTTTAATCAGCGTCTTTTGGGGCAATTACTGTCTCACTACGAAGGAATCATCACGGCGGAGGGCACCAAGTCCAGTCAGAACATTGCCCTGCAGCTGTACTTCGATCTGAAGTTCCTGGAGCGCGTGTTCGCCATCAGCCGTGAGGAGCGGCTTCTGTACGACCAGATACACGCCCAGCAGAATCAGTTACGCGATTGCATCGATCCCTTCGACTTCGAGCTGTTCGCCGAGCACATTACTTCGCACGTGGCTAGAGCTTCGAGTCGCCTGCAGGGAGAACTGGGAGTGCTGACACCATCGGCACCTGCTCCAAGCCAGAGCAGTGCTTTGGCCCATGAAGCCGATCCCAATGTGTTGTGCCTCAGCTCATCCGGATCCACATCGCTGTGGTTCCCCTGCTGCCAATTGTGATGCCCCAAGCGGCAGGAGGAGGAGGAGGAGGAACTGCTAACGAGCGGAAGCTATTAGCCCCGGAGCCGGCGGAGAAAGTAAGTCAATCGCTTGTAAATGTATCTCTTGGTTCTTTTTGCAATCTTTATCGAGCTGTAATTATCTGTTCCAACGTTTCTCTCCTAGGATTTCGTTCTATTGCTATCCTAAGTCACTACGTAGTTCCATCGTTTGCTCTGGTTGGGTAGGAATTGTACTTGATTGTTGATATTTCGTTTCGTTTACTAGTTTGCATGCTGCATGAGTTGGCTTTGCCTAACAAACATTTTGAGCGAGTCGCAGTGGCTCTCCTGCTCTTATTAGATGCTTCATTTCCGAATTGGAAGGCTCTTCAAACTGAAGCCGCAGTTTAATTAAACTAATTTGGTTCGCCCAGCAATAAATAACCAGAATGCCGCAAGACAAATTTTAATTAGGTGCAACTTGCCACCGCTTCCCAGCTCTCTCTCTTTCCCTATCTCTTCACTTCGCCCGCAAGTGCTTGGCAAAAGTTTCGAGGCTCGATGCCGAAACCAAAATTTCCAAGTGGATGGCCAGTACAGCGGCAGGATGATTGTGTGTACATTGTGTGTGTATGTGTGTGAGTGTGTGGCTGAGTGCCTTAGATGCTAATTAATGAATCGCTGCAATTATTGAAATCAAATCGCTGGGCAAATGTTAATTTATGGCCTCAGTTCCTTGGTCGTTTCTCGCATGTTTTGTAATTAGCTGCGATCTCCGACGGTATAAATCGCTCTCTAATTATGTCTGCCTTCTGTTTGCCCTTCGTTTTGTTGTCCGCCATAAATCTGAGAGTTCAACCGCAAATTAACAGATTAATCAGACAAACTACCAATTAATAGTACTAATTAATTAATAACATTTTGCTTTCCCCCACTCTATCTCTACGCTCTCACCCCCAGATAGCGCCAACGACCACGACACCGACACGGAAGTCCGGGGGCAGTGGAGCCCGCAAGGCAGACAGCGGAAAATCCAAGTCGAGCGCAGCCTCATTCTTCGGGATGTCCCAGGAGTGGTTTCGCTAGAAAAGTCAACTCAAGTGGCCTGTGAAGTGCATCCGAGTGGAATTCGAAGGGGCCTCGCACAACTGTTCCATTGTTAAGCTGAGCATTCGAAATGTTTAACCTGTAAACCCCTAGCCTATAGCCTATAGCCTTGTAGCCTGTAGCTGCTTTCCAAACACATTTGTAAAATGGGCGCAGCAGCGTCAAGTAATCGTAAGAGAGTCACAGATATATATATATATTATAGATACATATTCCCTGATACCAAGTTTAATTTCAGCTTAATTCTAAATTTGTAATTTTTAATGCGCTTTGATGTTTGCCACCGTTGCTATTTCTTGCCTCCTTTCTTGCCACCGCCTGCGGCTGCCTTTGGCTCTGGTCCTTTCTTGGCTCCACCTTTGTCACCACCGCCACCGCCTTTGTTTTTATTTCCCGCCCCGCCGCCAGCAGCGGCTCCTCCGCCACCGCCTCCTTTTTTCTGTGGGCAAAGAAGAAACACGGAAAGATTTCTCTTTGAGCTGTGACTCGGCAAATAATGAGCCACGGTTGTTTAAAGTTGGGAGCAAAGTCAGTTAATGAGAAAAGGTTAGTAGTGTCGTGGGATTGCAGTGGGCGTTGGGTTCATTAGTCCAAAAGGTGGATATAGCTGAGGGCTTAAAGCCAGTACTTTTTTTTAAGCTTGTAAATTAGAAGTGTAATAAATTATGAAACTCTATTTAGAACTTGAATTTAAATGTTCAAAAAGTATCTTGGTTGCCTTAAAGGTACATTTTAATTTACTGCAATGCTTTTAGGGCTCACAAAATCATGGTATAAACAATTAACTTAGTTAGTCAGACCCAACTAGCATTAAATTCAATTATATGTGTCTTTAAAGCCATTGTATTTGTTATTTTGTGTAAACCTTTTGCAATCAAAGGAAGTTCTGCAATATTAAAGGTTCTATTTAGGACTTATAGCAAATGAAATTAGGAATTTAGGCGAGAATTATTTGAGAATTTCTTTGACTCACAATTAGTACGCTAGTTGCATAACACAAATATTGCTTACATTGCCGCCACCCCCTCCGCCTCCTCCTCCTCCGCCGCCACCTCCTCCACCCTTATTTTTACCCATCCTACGAGTATCAACTTCTTTGGGCAGCAATTATTCCGATTATTTAATTTGGTTTGGCTTGGGGCTGGTTGTGGGCTTTCGGCACGAACTAACTCTGGCCACAGCTGGCAAATTGCAACTAATAAGCATCGCCAGAGCCACAAAGCGAAATGCATGAAATTAAATCATTTGGCCAGGAAAAGAAGGCCAAAATAAACGTTGAGAGCAAAACACAGAATGCACAACAACACCCGACGGCGGAAAGCGGAAGCCAGAGAAAGAGAGCCTTTGCTGTTCTTTTTTCGGTTTTCTTCTGGGTGTGAAGGTGAGAGTGGTTAGAGAGAACGGGCTGCGGCTGCAATGGCCAATGGCTCTTAGCTGATTTAATCATCGCCCTGGCATCGCTTCCCCCTTTGGGCCGGAAGCTATGGCAAGTGGCTCTCTGGCGGCGACTGTTGGATTATTTTGTAGTGCCTTTGCCGCCACTGTTTGCCACTTTCATTCCGTTTCAGATTTTGTTTTCGGGGTCTGCATTTGCATTTGGCCCTGTCCACGTCCACGCCCCGCCGCCACCTGTTCCCCAAGGCCACGGCATTGACATTGGCCACCTCTCGCGTTTCTGGTCTGGTCTGCCAATGGCCAATGGAAGGCAATACGCTGATAATCCCACGGCTCAGTGACGTAGCCCACGGGTACGAGCAAGTGCAGCAAAGACGGTATTTATAGATGCAATGAGAGCCGAGGGAGAGCTCTCTGGGGCCAAGGAGAGATTTTCGGATTTAAATGGCCAAGATATGGTAAGAAGGGCGATTGAATTCGTAGATATATGAACGCAAAATATGGTCAGCACACAATTGAACCAGGGATAAATGGTTAAGATGCTCACAAACAGAATGATGTCATTAATTCTCTTGGATAAAGAGAAAAGTCCACAAATAAAGTTAATGCAAAATATAGGTAAGGGGAACCTAAACCTAAGATAAAGATAATGGTTGATTGATTTTTATGAAAATTTAATAATAATACGCAAAAGCAAACATGGCTGCAAATAAACTCACATTTCTGAAACTACATTAATTAAGTATACGCCATGTTGCCATATGAATATTTCACTAATAGAGCAAATGTAAAATCTGAATAAATCAGGCCAATTCAGATTATTTAATTAAATTATTTAGACTGTCTGTTATTGGCAGGGCATTGATATACACGGAACTATTTTATTTGCATTTTGGAATTGGCATTCTGAAATTAAACTAGCGTTTGATTTACACAGGATGTTATTAGTTAAACAACAAGTGAACCTTAATTAATTCTATAAAATTCGATGGAATTGGTCCAATGAATATATATATGTACGTGACTAAATAACTTTTATGATGAAAAATATCCCCTATGTCCATGTTACCATTTGGTTTGGTAAACATTTTACTGATAACTTATTTAACCAGAAATTCAATGTCTTTAATGTAACTACATAGCTGTGTGCATATATAACCAGCATGGCTACGCCCTACGTCCACCTCAGCTTAATTTCCATCTTTAATTACTGCCACAGCTCAGCAGGTGGATGCTCCTAATCGGAATGGAATACATTTAACGACCCTTCGCCTGCCTCCGCTCCAGAGTAAAAGAAAAATGTCCGAGTCCGATTTCTTCATATGCTAATTACAGTTATCAAAAAGTTTCTCTGGCTCTGGCACTGGACACTGGACAGTGGACACTGGAAACTCAATGCATACATAATGAGTCCTCCTACTTTTCCTGCTGCTGGCACAGATGGTAGATACTGGACGAGTCCAGTCAGGGAGAAAATGAAGACAGGTGGGGGACACCGGTCGGTGGCACCTAATTAAATTAGATGTTTTATATTATGGTGAGCCGTAAGTGAAACCGATATCAGCAGTTGGCTACTGAAATGAAAAGGAAAGGGACTCAACAAGTCGAAATCTGCACATGGCAACGAGCATGAAACCAAATTAGAAGTGAAAAGTATGAAATAAGCTCATAAAATTACGCTCTCACATGCTCTGGATGAGAAGGGGGATGAGGACAGGTGGCCACCCATTGCCGGAGGCGAGGGCAACAAAGTCCAGCCGCTCCGGACATTTGCTGCAGGTGCTCCGACCCAGAGTTGCAGCTGAAGGACTCCGAGTCGGAGTCGGACAGACACTTTGAATTTAAACGAAATGGGCGGACTTTCCGGGACTGTCTAAATACATACATAAGGTCGGGACGGATTTACGGGGATGAGCACAGAAGGAGATGGAAGCCAGGAGCTGGGAGCTGGGAGCTGGCTCTGTAAAAGTGCGGAACTTTAATTAAGTTTTGGTTCTCCCAGCTGACTGACATCTTGAATTACAAATGAAAAACTTGTGTGCAGCAGCAGAAGGAAAGCAGCAAAAGGAAGCGGGCCAAAGAAGCGACACGGAAAAAGGACGAATAAAAAGCCAGGACTAGGAAAAAAGCAGTGCATAATAACACACTGAACTGCAAGAGGTGGAGCTGCAGCAAAAAGGCAGCTTCTGCAACAGAATGCGAATAAGTTGCACAGCCAGCAATTCAGCGAAGGAAAATAGACCAGAGCCCCCGCCCCCCAAAGGATGGACAGCCCCAAGTCACTGGACAAGAAACCCAAACAACTACCTTAGCCAGTTACCCAGTTGGTCAACTGGCCAGCAGGCCATCTTGCTAGTTAGCTGGCATAAGAATACCCAACTAAATGGGACCGCGGATTTCCAGCAACTGGCGGTCTCTTAAAGTCCGGGTATCTCGAGAATCGAACAAGGGCCGCAGCGACAAAAATAGTTTCATTCATGCCGAGCCAAGAAAATTATGCGCCAAGACCCAAACTACGGATTACCCTTGGGTATCGCGATAATCAACTTCCATTTCCTCCAAGTCTGTGTAAGTCCCGGGCATTGGTGACGTCTGCTTACGTTAGTTTCGGCTGCAAAGTATTATTTATCCAGGTAAAGTGATACCCCGATAAGATATCGCGAAGGTGGCAACATTTAAATCAAAATACAGATTCTATATGTCTTGCTTTTTGTGCAAAAGTCCTCGGAAGAGCCCTATATATTTTCAAGTACAGTCTAAATTCCAAATATATATTTTATTAATTTAAAGTATTTAATTGTATCCATTCAACTACTGCTATGTGTGATACGGCTTTAAGTGCATCTTATCTAAAAAATAAATAAGACCCCCATTGTTTTATATATTCAAATTTTAGGTAACTTTGCTTATATTATATTATATGATAAAAAAGATAATGTGTTGTACCTACAAAGTTTATTTTGTAACTTGGGAAACGTAAGGTAAAGGTGTTTTGTAATAATTACAATACATATTATACTTTTGCAATTTTCCCTTTCTAAGTACAGAGCAACTAGAAGTCTGTTCAAGTATGAAACTTCATCCGCCACCGAACTTCATCATCGGCAGCCCTGCCACAGAATTTGGTTTTAGTTCACGTGCCACCGGGAACGGAAAGTTGATTTTCCCCGCCGAATGCCGACTGCCGTGGCTGGAAAATCAGGAAACAGATGTTTGCAAATATCTTGCAAGCGAACTTTTTCGCCAAGGTATTAAATAACGTTCTGGCTGCACCAACTTTTTTGTCAGCCGCAGCGCAGAAAAAGGGAAATAAAATCTGAAAGGCGCAAAGAATTGAGCATAGAGGGCCTGGCCAAAAGGAAACCCATTCAATTGCGTTGAATTGGGCAGATTTCGTTTGAAGGGAATTTCCCGAATTATCGTGGCAAAGCTCCTCAATGGGATATCATGCTGCATTCATATCGAAACGCCGACTAAATATAACTTTAAATAACCCCAACTGAACATATAAAGAGCGCGTGTCAATGCCGATAATCCAAACTGGTGACTAATTAAAATGTTGGTGAAAAAATGGTCAAACTTTCCATTCCATTCCTGATATCTCATCGTCGGACGTCTTAAGGTATTCCTGGTACAAAGTCCAAAATTAACCAAGCTAAATGTTTGTATAATTATTTTGATACGCAAGTTAGCACCCCACTAGGTATGCACTTTATCAAAACAAAGTCAGGAAAGAGAAAATGCTTATGATATTTATCTTTACCATGGGTCTTGCCCCAAGGGCTTGTGATTTTAAATAAAATAATCTGAACTATTTCCTTCCTGTAATCGTGACCCAAAGCTAAAACAGTCTCGAGCCCTATTACATAAGGCGCAGATAGAGGGAAATCCCACAACCGGAACAAAGATAAACTGTTAGGCAATTAGGGATGGATGGTCATTGCCATTGACTGGTCAATGGCCAAAATTTAATCACGCTTATCATGACTAAGGACACCCTTCAATTAAAATAGCCCGCACAAGCTATCCGATTAACTTTGAATAATATATGCATACACGGGGCCAACTTTGGTCACTGGCGTTTATCTTTCATTGATACCTTGCACTTAACCTAGTCCATGCTTATCACTGGCGATAAGCCCCATGGTTTCCGCGTCTTTATAAGTAGGCCCTGCGCCTGGACAGCCCACAGATACTAAACGATCTTTCGGGTGTGCACTTAAACTATCAAAATCTCTCAGAAAACATGTCCAAGTTACCCTGCAGCTATGATCCTGAGAAGAGGATCTGGAAGGGCATGCCCCAGTACACCCCCTTCAAGCCAGATACCTCCCTCGGCCGTATCATCTTCAAGAACATGAGGAACTGGCCCCAGAACGTCTGTCAGGTGAGTTGAGATCGGACTGTTCCTGCTAAAAGGACATTTGTGAACCAATCTTGTGCCTTGCCAGATTTCGGACACCGAGGGCGTGGAGGTCACATTCGGTCAGGCTCTTACCTGGGCCGTTCGCATCGCACAGCACCTGAAGAGCCGTGGCCTTGACCACAAGGATATCATCGGTATCTCTGCCAAGAACACCACCTATGTGATGCCCATCGCAGTGGCCTGTTTCTTCCACGGAACACCCTTCCAGTCGGCGAACCCTATTCTCGAAGAATGTACGTAATAGTATTTTGTTTAAGATTAATTAAAATATTTATATATTCTAAATGTCGTATACTTTTTTATCTTGCAGCTACGCTCAAGCACTTATACACCATCTCCAAGCCAAAAATAATATTCACCGATGCCGTGCACTATGAGAAATTGTACTCCGCCACCAGCGACTTTAAGCCAGAGATTATCCTCACCACCGGCACCAAGGAGGGAGTCCTCAGTATACAGGATCTGCTGCATCCGACTAAGACGGAGTTCTATTACCAGTGAGTTGGATAAATCATAGATACATTTTATAGATTCTATAAATATAATATCATTGATATTAGGCCAACGCCCCTGAAGGAAGGACCCAAGCAGACAGTGGCCATCCTTACTTCATCCGGCACCACAGGAATGCCCAAGGCTGTGTGCATCTCCAACGATATCCTGACCCAGGAAACTATGTAAGTTGCTTAACCCACTTCCATTTCCAAATCATAATACCTAATGCTATATATTTTTTTGCTGTAGCTTCGTCAACTCCAGCGACACCATCTTCATCTCGGCCAGCCTGGACTGGATCACGGGTCTGTGGGCCACCATTTTCAGCACGGTGAATGGCTGCACTCGTATCATCAGCAGCAACCCCTTCACCGCGGATTACTTTGTTTCTCTGGTGAGGAAGTACCGCATCACGTACGCTCTGATTCCGCCGGAGCACTGCTGCGCTCTGCTGGACTGCCCAGCGGCAACACCGGAGGCAATGGGTAGCCTTACCAAGCTGAACTTCGGTGGCGGCCGCATGACACAGGCCACCTTGGAACGCATCAAGAAGCTGGCACCCAACGGAGTGCTCAACTCCTCGTACGGCATGACTGAAGTGGGTTTCATTGTGTTCAATCATGGACACTTGAAGCTGACGGCGGCTGGCAACCCGCTGCCGGGCATCCAGATAAAGATCGTTGATGACGATGGCAACAGCTTGGGCCCGAACCAGACGGGTGAGATCATTGTGCACAATGGCTTCAACTGGAACGGATACTTTGCGGACCCCGTGGCCACCAAGGAGATGCAGGACGAGGAGGGTTGGTTCCACACCGGTGACATGGGCCACTTCGATGAGGACGACTACCTGTACATGACCGATCGCAAGAAGGAGGTGCTCAAATGGAAGGGCCTACAAATGTCGCCCGCCGAGGTGGAGGCAGTCATTGACGAGCTGCCGGAGGTGAAGCGCGTCTGTGTCATTGGTGTCTATGACGAGACGCAGGGCGATGTGCCCGGAGCCCTGATTGTCCGCGAGGAGAACGCCACCCTCACCGCCCAGCAGGTGATAGACCATGTGGCCAAGCGGCTTCCCGACATCCAGAAGCAGTTGCGTGCCGGTGTCCAATTCGCGGATGAGATTCCTCAGAACCACAACGGCAAGGCTGTGCGTCGCTATGCCCGTGATCTGTTCGTGGCCCTCTCCAAGAAGAACTGAGAATGCATCCTTGGCTAATGAAGTCTATGTCTAAGTTTAAGTTTTTTAGGTTAGGGAAACTGGCTGGTCTTTTTTGAATTGAATCGTCCTTTTAAATGCTTGCTAATAAAAGTCGCTCACAAATAAACAAACTGTTGACGAATGACTTTATACATTATTTAACATCAAGATATATAAACAAATATAAATTTGGTTATTTTTGTAAAGAACTTCCGGGTGAACTTATGCGAATTATGTGTAGTATTGGGTCAAGTGCTTGTAACAAAGTATTTATTGAAGTATTTAAAGCTGAAGTCACAGTCAAAAAACAATTGCTGAGAACATTTGATTAACGTTGCCATCCCATCAATTCGGTTATAAAAATATTGCGCCAGTTTGGGCGGGAATTTCGGCCATAATTCAACTGGAACACCGTGTCGCTGTGTGTTTATGGCTAAACACTTTCATGGGGTAAACAAAGAATTGCCATTTTGCGTCAGGGGCCGTGACTCCTCCTCCTCTTGCCGCGGCATAAAAAAAAATCATTTTATTTAGTCATAAAAATCGCACGCATAGAATTGGCCAGGGGAGCGTCGAATTCGCGCCGCCAAATCACGGGGGCCGCACAAAAAGAAGCTTTTCACGAAATTAAAGGTAAATAAAATGTTTATGAGTGGAGAGCAAAGCGCTCGCTCATATGATTTCACATTCGATTGAATAACATTTACACACGCAAGCGAGCGCCGTCAAGGATTCGCAATCCGCGCCCGGATCCACATCCACGTCCATGGGATCCGTCGGGGGAATGGCAGGCGGCACCCAAAGACGGGCAATAAATTCAAACATGTGCACATAAATTTTTATTTCGATTTACTGAGCCGCTGTCAGTCCTGTCCTGTCCTCCTGCTCAATGCTCCCTGCTCCCTGCTCCCCATTCGGTTTTATGAACTGTGAATATGCGCATGATGAAGTTGCCAAAGGATCTCGACGGAAGTGAATCGTTCGGCATGCGGTTCCCTCACTGTGCGTGTGTGTGTGTTTGTGGGTGATGCCTGTCAGGAAGGGGGCTAGGATCGAGGATTCAGGATGAAGGAGGTGGCAAACGTCAACGGCATCACAAATTATTGCATCTCTATGTGCCGGCAAACTGACAGTGGATAAAATGATCGATATAGCCACTAATAAGATAAAGAGATTATACATATTAACTACATTGTATGGCTTACCAACTTGGCTTCCTTTGCTGAACCATTTTCAGGTTTAATACTTATTATAAGAAAAGAAACAAACTTTGGGAAAGCGGTGGTTTCGCCTACCCTTGAGGTTTGCAATTGGATCATTTAATCGAACTTAGATTGATCATAACTAAGTCAAAAATGTATAACTTTCAATTTGGAAAGCTTTCCTTTGTTAGTTTTTATTAGATTTATAAATTTGATAAATCTCCATTTGAAAAATTAAAAATTTGTCAAATTTTTGACAATTTTAACAATGTAACCCCTTAGAAAATTTTGAAAAAAATTCAAAAATTTATTTTTCGACCGGACATTGCTACACCGAAACACCGAATCAGCTTTAAATGCTGATCAAGAATATATATGATGTATGACTCCTTCACTGCGTTTCAAGCTTCTGACTAAAATTATTATACCCTGCAAAGGGTATACAAAGACGAAGCCTTTTGTGCCCACAGTGAACATCCGGAAAAACCTCTGTTGGCAGCGAGAGGGGAACGTGTTCTGTCGTCAGTCAATTGACTTGTCTAGGCGGGGAAATGGGAATTCGGGTAAAAGTCAGTGGCAAATGATCCCCTCGCCTGCATAAGTCAAATAACGAAAATGTCAACTCCTGATTGAAGACCCCCCAAAAAAAAGGCCGCTGCAGCTCAATCAGGCTTGAAATATGCACGAAACGGGGCACAGTTCTTTGGAAACACCGAAAAAAAAAGAAAATGGCAAAAAGTCACAGTGACCTTTGCCTCTTGTGAGAATTGAACTCACGGCCCCTGGTTTACAAGACCAGTGCTCTGCCACTGAGCTAAAGAGGCTCACGTTTTGAAGGTGTTCCAAAACCCACCTCAAACCACCTTTCTGATTGCTCTCCGAACTTTGAGTTAACAACATTTCCCAAAGCATCTCGCAGGTGCAAACAATAAACAGGTGTTTGAACAGTTGTCAACTGATAACTACTACGAGTTTCGAACAACATGTGGCGGCAAGTGCCCATTCATTTGGGCAATCACTCAATTGCGTTGCCTAATTAAAACTGTGGAGATGGAGTCCAATTAGCAGCTGCCTGAGAGATACATTTTCCCATTTTCCCACCTGTCCGTCTCGTGTATCCTGTCTCGTTGGCTTGGTAATTGATAGACCGGTGCACTGAGGCAAATACACGAATTCGTGTGCAACACTCCCGCATGTTTATTTGGCAAATTGGCAAATCAATTGCCTGAACTGAATAAGCTGCCACACATCACCGGCAACATAGGCTAAGATGTATCTGTATCTGTATCTGTATCTGTATCTGCATCTGTGTCGTTCCTCTACGATTTCTATCGAAACCGCAAAAGTAATTGGCGCAATGAATGAAATTAATGAAACGCATCGGAATCTTGTGTGATGTTTGGCAAATACATTTGTGGTAAGAGCCGGGAATACACATGCAAATGGGCATAGAACAGAGCTGACAATTTGGCATTTTATCAGCCAGTTAAGGCAGTTGGAAGATAGTTATACTATTTCTGCGTCCAGTAAATAGATTGATTTTAGCAAAAGGGAATTTTTAAATTAAAAAAATACATGTCTTGCAAAGAGACACATTTTGAAGCCCATAAAATCATATTAATGCAAATTACAGAAAGGCATTTCCCATCACTATTAGACTAAATCAAGCTCCTTGCTAACCCATTTCCCATTTAAATATTTACAGATCGTTCTCTCAACATTATATATTAAAGCACTAGCTAAGGCTTTGCCAAAAAATTCAGGCTACTTGCAAAGCGTTAAGAGCGTAGACAAACAGTCAGCTGAAGCCGCTTAAAAAGTGCAGGAACACGTATACGCACCGTTGCGCCTGCATAACTACTTTCCTCAACGGCGCCCCCCTGGAAAGATTATCTGGCAGCAACAGCAGCATACTTAACAAGTATTTATCGAGTTTTTCAATATTTTTAATGCCACTTTAAATACTTGATGCGATTATTTTCCACAGATTTTGCTTTGCATACATACATACAACTTTTCCGATATACATATATGTATATATATGCATACATTTATAGTATATATAGGCCCCGCCTTTCCGTGCAACCTGCACTTTTTTGATCTCGCGAAAGTAAAGTTTCAAGTGCCAAACACACGCAAACTTTTTGCTCCGTTGCAGCAGTAGCATGCAAGTTTGCTGCCACCGAGAGACATAAAACTTTTATAGAAGTTATTAAAAGCGCGACGAAATGAGAAAGAGAGAGAGAGAGAGGGATATTCTGTGCGAAAGAGACAGTGTGTGAGAGCGAGATCTGGTAGCAGGTCTCAGCGCCAAAGAGTTGAGAGAAATGATTCATTTGCCATTCAATAAATCTTCTCTTTACTTGACTACACCAGGCAGATGCCCGGCAGTTCTCACTTCACTACACTCGGATAAAATTCGTGGTCTAGAAATGTACTATAAAAAACCATGTCATTAGATCTATCACATCTTCCAATCAAAAGCATCTTTAACAAGTTCAAAAACAATCTAACCGAAATGATTTAGAGAAGCAGGAAATGGTTACATTCACATTTGGTTATTATTTAACTCCCAACTCCCTCAAAGTACTTAATTATTAATTATTGAATTAAATATTAAAATAGTTGCCAAATTTTCTCAGAGTTTATTCCCGGCGCCCAGCTATCGCGTTGCTGCATCGGACGGACGCTTTAAGTAATGACCATCAACGGCTGGACGCCGACGGCGCCAGTTTGTACATTGTTATCTGCTAAGGACTGCGGGATTATTCGGCGAATCCAAGGTGCAAAGATGTGGCCCGGAGCCCCACTCCGAGGCATACTCCTCCCCGCATCCATTCATTATTCAAACGCATTAACAGAAGTTGTCCGGCTCGACTCCGGCTGTAGCAGGACAATTTTCGTGATATCCTTGACTTGGCATAACTTTGTCCAAAGTGGCCCAGGGCCTGCTCCTGCCTGCTCCGGCTCTGGCTCCAGCTCCAGCTTCAGCTTCAGCTCCTGCTTCGCCTCCAGCTCCTGTGTGAAAAGTTTTCCTGCTGCACTCGAACAATAACACAGCCAAGTATTTAAATGCAAATTAGCCCCAAATGATGCAATCATAATGCAAGTGGCTCCGGGCCCAGACCAGAAGGCTTGAGTGGTCATGGGAATAGGAGGTGAAGGCGAAGGAAATGGCAATGGCAATGGAGATGAGGATGAGGATGAGGATGAAACGAGACTGTGCGAGTACGAGCGTAGTAGGTTCCCCATTTAATTTCCACTTGCCTGGGCTCATTTAGCCCAATTTGGCAGCCACTCATAATTTCCACTTCTTTTTCGTTCGCTCAAATTAATTTCCACCTCTATTTTATCCATTTCTTCCTTTGTATCCTTTGGGAGCAACTGAGTTTTGCGGGGCTCGTCGTGGGTGCGGAAGATAAATGCATTTCAACACATGTTGTTGAAAGTTAATTTCCGAAACCGTTGCTCATTTATTTTTAAATGTGCATTTAGTGTTGCTTTGCCCACAGCTCGACTCTTTTTGTTTGCCTGCCACAGTGGTAATGCATTTTTGATCGTTGTACTCAGGCATCCTGATGCACTTTAAATGAGCCAAGAGTCCCCTCAAAGACAGGGGCAGGTCCGGAATTATTCAAATGCTTTCTTGCACTGCTCTTCCCCGAAAGTGCCAGAGTTCAAATCTATGTATATCCCAAAGCCAACTATTTCCAGCTGCTGCAAAAAGGCCAAAACTTGGCAATCGAATAGCCAACTCGGCCGCAAACACAATCAGCCAGCTCCCGAGAAATGAGCAACTTGAGAATTGAACCCGATGGCAGGACAAAAGGAGCACACACAGCACGGTTGTCCGGCTGGGAAGGAGAAACTTTTGGTGTTATAATCTGTACCGAATTTAAGTGCCCTGATATTGCTAATTAACCCACAGCCATTCGCACATGCATGAAAGCCATTTGCGAAATTGGAAAAACAAAGGCAACGGGCCACCGAAGACTTCTTGTGCCCGGTTGGTGGGTCCTTCGGTCGGAGAGTGTAAATGTAATTGTGATTGGGTTGGCGTTGGCTGGCAGTTTATTATTTTGCCAGCTGCTCGTGGAATTGGGGCTGCTCTTGGATGTGTTCCAAGGCGATTCGCTCGTTTTTGGTCCGGCCAGCAGGACTGCAACGGGGCGTATGCGTGATATGTGCGACAACAATGCAAGCGAAGCAGCTTTGGAGGAAACTTTTCAGATATCCAGCGTCTGTCTCTGAGGCGGAATCTGGCAATGAACGCTTGAGAACACACTTTAAAGTCCATTAGCGTTGAGTGGCACAAAGGCAGCAGTCACGAGGACAGGAAAAATTCGAACAAACTGAAGAACGGAATCAAACAATTGCAAGACGCATTGCATATTTATTTATGTATATTCGAATGTATTACAAATGTATATTTAGCACAATTTATTCAATTGACAAATTTCCAGTCTGCGACACTTGGCAGACGAAAAATATGGCCACAGAGGGTGAATGGAAATTTGTCTATTATTTGTGTTACTTTGCGGTTGTCAAAATATTGAACTCGCCATAAAGCAAAAGGAAAAATCTTGTTCGTCTTTTATTGCTGCTGCTTTATTGAAGTTTTGCGGCGTGGAAGAAGCCAAGAGATATTCCATGAAATATTGTAACTGCTGCAAATTATCGTTCTTCGTTGCTAACATAAAACTTTTACCACCGCCGGCCCCACAGCGCTCGCCGCTCCGCTCCGCAAGCCCGGGAAAAACTCTATGCAAATGGCTCAGACATTTTGCAATTGATGCTGCTCGGGGAATGGAAATGCAAGACCAGAAAGGGAGCTTAAAGCTGTTTAAAATACGAGCAAATTTAACTAAATTCAACAGTACAGCACAGAACAGCCCAGACCGCTTCCTAAAGTTACCAATTAATTTTGGCCATGTGGCAGTAACATGTAATGAAAATGCTTTCAACTTAATTCAATAGAATTGGGTCTGGAAAATTATAGGTCGAAACCGAATCGATGCCATGCATTAGCAGGAGACACGATTCGCCATTATCCCGGAAATCTTCGATAATTTCACATAATCCACAAGAGCACACAGTGTAAACTTGCAACTGCCAAAGCCACAGCCAGAACAATACGCACAATGACAATGGCAATCAGCACTCGAAACAGGATGCACTGGGAAAAATATTACTTACATTTGTATCTTGGCATTATAATTGAATTAATATAAAAAGAATGTATTTATTCCTCTATTTTTAAAGCAGTTGATGATATTTTAAGGTAAAGGTATGACTTTCCAGCTCATAAATATTATTATACGGCTGATGCTAGTTCATTTATGTAGGAACAATGTAAAATTGTCAATTGAACTTTGATTTACCTTCAAAACTGGGAAATCTTTTCTTGCCGTGCAGGAGGAGCTCATTGGAGGTCTGCGAGATTGCGGTTGCAGAACAATGACTCACTGACTCACTGAGCAAATGAGTGGGAACCTACATAGATGCTGGGCAAAGGACGTGCGGAACTTGGTAAAGGGTTCCTGACGAGACATTGGCATTGGCCGACAGTTGGCTGGCTACAAAGTGTAGAGCTCAGGAAAAGAAACTTTTGCCATTTCCAGCACAAACACGATGTGAGCAACTTTCAACATTTACTGCTCGGCGGTGGCTGTTGTAACAAAGTTACAAGTAGCATTTGAAACTTGTCCTGCGACTCCTGTGCGTCCTGCCCCATTGCTGGCTGTCCCCCATTGCGTATGAGTGATTTTTATGAGCTGCTCTCCACGTCATGCGTGTTTGTTTGTTGTCTGCTCGCAGCTATGTCATCCCACTCCCCAGTCCCACTCATCCTCCCATTCCCATTCCTGTGTCTAGTGTTCTTCTACGAGCCCAAGGACACACGCAATTATTCGAACATGACAAGTGCAATTTGCCGATGGCTCCACCTTGGAGGGGGTTCTGATTTGGCTTCTGATGGAGGAAGCCTAATCAAATTAAGTCACTTAATTGCATAAATTGGGCCCAGTCTGTAACAGGAGGTTTTTCTTTCTGAAAAAAAAAGGACAAATTAAAAGAAATGAAAACTTTTCACTTGAAAATATACACCATCGCTTCATATCTTGGAGCCAAACATGTTCATCGGACTTGTGATTTGCCCAGAATTAGCTCGGCTCGAAACTCGAGCTCTCTTTGTTCACTCAACCTGAAATCAAACTTCGGGCTCCGTGACTCGTCCAATAAATTAGGTCTCGCGGCAGTTTTAATAAAATTCTGGCCCTGTTAATTAAAATCCCGCCCGGGGCCGAGTGCAGCCATATCCGAGTCCCGGCTGCCGTAATTAAGCTGTCAGCCCGCATTCCGTCTGAGGAGATCTCACCTCTCAAGTCATAACTCATAACTCATGTGGCCCCCGGGGTCGGTGGGGCCATGTGTCAGAACATTAGCTTCGAGATGTGCATATGACAAATCTGAAAACTTTCTAGCCGAGATTCCCTTCTCGTTTTGAGACGTTTCCTTCGGTTTAGTTAGTTGTGTTACAGTTTCCCGCTCGCCAGACGCCCAAGTTTGCGGATACGGAATGCAAAGTAATGGGAGCAGCAGCCTTGAACAGTGGAGTTTTTCAGCTTTAATTTGTTTGACTTTGGACAAAGGAAATCTTTTGAGTTGCTGTTTGCTGCTCATTTTTCCCACAGCTAATTGCGCGGTGTCCCAGAACGGAGAAGTGAATGAGAAGCGCTGAGCCACTGGGCACACACAGCGGCGCTGGGCAGGATGGACCCTGGAAGCGGGAGCCTGAGAGGGACAGGGAGCCGGAGGGATAATGTCATAAATCACCATGGATATATGCATAAATTATCGCTTGAGCTCTGGCAGCGACCAGCGGCCGAAGCCGATTCCTTCTGGAGGGAAAGGAGGTCGCTGTGAAAGTTAAAAAACAAAGCTCACGATAAACGAAGCGACATTTAAGGATTTAACGAGAAAAAATCGCTGTCACGAGGACGCATCGTTTTAATCAGTGGAAGACAGTCACTGTCTTGCTCCGCCTCTGTCGCCCCTTCAGCTCCATCTCAACTACAGTGTGCGAAATCGCAATTCACAATCTGAATAGTAAATATAACAATATAGAAAAAAAAGCGACGACTAAGTCCAGAACCTATATGAATATTGCTAATAAAGAAGTTCTTTAAAATTCTTGCTTCATAACTTGTATGTAATTGATACTCTATACATATATTTGCAATAAAATCAATAGTCTGAGAGAAATGAATGAAAAATCCCTTACTTCTTTAGAGAGAATTAAGGACTTTAATTTTTATAAAGTGTCCCTAAGGAAGTATCTGTCCGAAACCACTGTCCGCTGGCACGTGCTCTTGTCCAGCTGCTTCAGCTTCGCTTCTTCTCCGTCTTCGGCTCTGAAATGGTAGCAATATTTTGTCAGACCAAAGTCAACAGCCGGCAGGCAGCAAGCAGCCGGCAGGAGACGCCGGGACCCTAAAGACAAGGATCCGCCGCGGCGGTGTGGGGTTGAAATTTACATTGGCGCTGCAAAGTATGCAACGCATATTTTTACATCACTTCTGTTTGCCTTTCTCGCAGAGCCACAGCTTGGCGGCGAGGAGCAGTCAGCCGGGAAAAGGGCGCTTTATACATTTAAATGTATTTATTTTTGTCGGAGCCAAAGGCAGCGCCAAGAGCCACAGGACTCTCGCCGGCATGAATATGCCAGTCAAGGTGCGGGCCAAAGGATATTGCCGGCAGGCAAAGGCAGGAGGCTCTTCGATGGAGTGTCTGCCCCAGGTGCCTTTAATTATTATATTGATTGCTCGTGGGTCGAAGTGGTTAAGCTGGTAATCAAGTAAAGAATTTATACGATTTTATACCAATATTTTTGGTGTTTTGGGGAGATAACTAAAAGGTTTTAAATAGTCACAGCATTTGAACCATTTTGTTGTTTGAAACCTACAGAACCTAGAGATCCAATTAATGGTTAAACATTTTCTGAATTATATGATCTCTGACCAAGATAATTCGACTTAGAATTTATTGTAATAAAGTTCCGGTCATCTGTGTGGGCCTTGATTAAATTTTACATGCACGCCTCACTAAATTTCGGCAGCTTTTCGACCTGGACGCCAATTACGTTTTGAGTCTGCTGGGAAGCGAATATGGCGGTGCGGATGCAGTAGTCCAGTGGCATTTTTTGGACATACATGGAAAGGAACCCACCGATGAATGCGTCGTTGCAGCCGTTGATGTCAACGATCTTACTCTTTTCCACCTTCGGCACGGGGTACTCCAGGACGCGCTCGTTCTCCTGGAAGCAGAGCACAGGGCATAAGGGATCGGTGATAACAACCAGGCGCGGATGGTTGTTTGCCTTGGGCATGGTCTGCAACCGGTTGCCGACCTCAAAAATGTTCTTCGTCTTCCAGTCACTGGAATCGGCAAAGGCAAGGGCCTCGTCCTTATTGCAGATTATGATGTCCACGTACTGCAGGGTCTGAAGCAGTGAGGCGCGCTGCATCTGCAGCACAAACACGGCGCTAAAATTGAGGATCATAATGCGATTGGACTCGGAGCACATTTTGGCAACGCGCTCCACAACGATCGGACAAACGGCCAGGAAGAAACCGGTGAAGTAGAAATACTGAGCTCGATCTAGCCAGCAGATGTTCTCCTCCTCCTCCATCCAATCTTCGGTAAACATAGAGGCTGCACCGAGATTGGCCACCATCGAACGGTTCAAGCCGTTCATGATCACGGCACAAGAACCTAATCAGAGGTAAAAGGCGCTGCTCATTCAAACTGAAAGAATATAGGATAGGAGCTGAGAACAAACCTGTTGGCAGCTCGTCCCTAATCTGATATAGGGTTGTCAGGCCATCTGCCTTAGCCCTCTTGGCGATACGTTCACCTAGCTTATCGTTCCCCACAGCGCCAGAGAAGATTCCTCTACCGGGGGTCTGAACGATCCACTGGAAGATTCTCATCGAATTCTGGCAAGCTCCGCCCGCCGAATAGATGACGTTCTCCATGTTCATCAGTTCGTCAAAGAGGGTGTCGTGTTTTTCCTCGGCAATGACAGCGGCGTTCGCGGCCAGGCCAAATTTTTCAAGGATCACATTGTCCTCGACAATGCAGGTGATGTCCAGCAGGGGATTGCCGAAGCCAATTATGATTCCCTCCGGCAGCTCCATCTTGGGTTGTTTTTGGGAGTATCAAAAACTCCTGACAGAAGCTCGAGACCCAAAGTGTCTGATATATCTAATGGATTGGAGCACTGAGATTGACTTAAGGCTGGTTGGTTGATCCTGCATCGATCCTGCACTTGCGTCCTAAGGATTGGCTTCCAGGTCTAGCTCGTTTTCATGCTGCCTGACTTTATACTGAATTTTGAATGATTTAACGAGTGTTGTGAGTGGAGGAGAAAAGCAGTCATTCCCCATTCAGCTCGCCGAGCAGAGTCGAAATTTATTTCCCTCGGTTGCTTAAAGCGATAATTACCTGCATAAATCAATCACGACAATTAATATTGCTGTGGCCCAATTTAATGTGCTATTAATTACGTATCCATCTTGTTGCCGGCAGTATGTATAATTGCTGTGCAATTATGAAGGCGGGCTGTGCGCGGTGCTTGCCAGCTTTTATTTTCATTTTTCAGCCGGAGATGAATGAATTGAATGTAAGTGGGCTTGACAAGCCGAGGCGAGGGGTAGTTGAGTGCAGCCACCCAGAACGTGAATGTCCTTCCTCCAACCAAAAAAAAAAACACCAACAGCTAGGGAGGAGTAGGAGTGCAGGACTGGGAAACAATGGCATTTGCAGTGCTTTGCACAAGTTGCCTGGCATAAATTTTAATTTTTATGCAGCACAAAAGCTGCAGCAGCAGCCCAAACTTTCGACGCGCGTTGAAGCCACGCGAAATCAGAGGATACAAAATATAGACCGAATTCTAGAAACCCTATATAGAGACATTTGATATATTTAACATGTATTGTTTTCAATACACTTCTTTATTCTTGATAAGGACATAATCACTTTTTACGGCTTAACTTATAACCAAGTAAAGTCCAATGATTAAAGAAACAAATGTAGAAATCTAAACTACAGTTTTCATTAGTTATTTTTAGGTAATATATTTGTATACAATTTATTTCTTGTTTTCCCTCGACTTACATCCCCTAAATGGCCAAGCATTAAAGTAAGCTACGATTTGCTATCAATTTTCGTGGCCATGAAAGCGGCGAGAAGCCGTCAATCCTGTGCGATAGCACTGAGTAATTTTCAAAATAAATTGTGTAGTGAAAATGTGTTTTTAATTTCCTTTTCAGGGGAATCGTGTACGGCGAGGCATACCCTTCTAAGAGGGGCTCGTTGTCGTTTATCGCTCGCGAGCCCCGAAAAGTATGCAAGCGGTTTTTCACTTTGCTGCTGCTGCCTGCTGTTGTTATTGTTGTTGGTGGCACACAGCGCGCTGTTGTAGTAGTAGTAGCTGTTTTTGTTCCTCGGGTAAGTACTTACTTATGTGCCAGGGCATTATTCTTGGCTATATTCCTTTTGCTAAACCGCTGCCGCTTTTTCCCCAGCAGAAGCGAGGAGCATCAACGGCAGAAGCGATGGCAGATGAGAAGATGCGAGGAGGCGGCGGTGAAAGAGTCCTGAATGGTGAATGGGGAGAGCGGAGGGGAAACCGCAGCGGTGACGTGGCAATGCAGCTGCATAATGTGGCATGCGGTTTGCATTAAAAATGATATTGCAACACGAGCCGCACATCTGCAGCTGTGTGCCGTTAGGTGCCGCCTGCAGTCACTGACAGCCGCATGGCAATTATAATCCACACATACTCACTGCCTCACACTCAGTGCCTCACGCACACTCCATCCGGGCTTAAGTCTGCACTGGGGGAAACTGTGCTTACTTTGGATTAAATACTGCTATCTAGTGAAAGTTCCAATTAAATTGAGACTAAATCTATTAAGATGTTTTTAAACTAATTCAGCGAGTAGGAAAAATTCAAGTGTATAACATATGATACCCTATTGGACATTTCTTTCTGTGCCTCAACTGGCAAGTGCGAGGGAATCTGGAGCTGGGCCATGTAAGCAGCAGCTGCCAGTGACACACACATCAACATGACACCCTGTCGCCCTGACAAAGCTTAGCTCAGGGTCCGGAGAATGGGATCTGGATCTGGGAAACTGGAGGGAGTTGGTACCACAAACCCACACCATAGCCACACCCATACCCTCACCCATATCCACTCCCCATATCATCTTCCACACATCCAGGCACATTCACACGCTCGACATGTTGCTTTTTGGGGATGAGCCGGAGGCAGGATGTCCGCTTCCTTTTTCGCCGCTTCTCACGTTGTTATCTAACAAGCTTTTTATGTGATTACCTTTTGCCTTCTGTTAGTTTTACTATAATTTGGCCTTTTGCGCTTAACGAGATTGTTGTAAGGTGCTCTCGAGCTGCCTGCCAGCCAGCCAGCCGAGAATAAGGAAACCGACACGCCACGCCATGCCGTCTAAAATGGTCTCTGACCGGGTCCTGCACACAGGACCCTCGTCGCCATTGTAGTGCATTGTGCCGTTGTTTCCTTGCCTTCCCGCTGCTTAGCCGCGAACAATGGCCCGAAGTTAGAGTAATGGAAATTGGGTGTGTTGCCCAACGATAATCCCAAGACAGTTACTCCATTTCCCGCACCGCTTCCACGGCTCAGCAAACATTTATTCGAGCGATTCGAAAGAGATTTGGTAAAAATTATACAAAAAAGGAGATGGGAGTTATCCTCGATCAGGTCAGTATTCGCAAGACAAGCACGATCGTCGCCGTGCTAATCAGTATGAAGTTGGTCACTAATCGAAAGATAAACAGGCAAGAACACATTGTTTTATTCCAACGGCCTCACCAAGGACGTCATCTAGGATTAAGGAACCTCGGCATTTTCTTCCGGCGCCTCGAATAAAAAGTTCGACAATTAAATACGATCTTAGCTAGGCAGAAAATCAAAAAACAACTACGTCTCAGAGAAACACAAACGGAATTTAAGCTTTTGTTGGGTACTTGGGGACTTAAACTTGTAAATTGTGAACATCTTCCTGATTATCCCAGATGTATTCCATTGGTCAGGTGGTAATATTAAGGTAGAAGGGCAATCACTATCACTATCACCAAGATGTTATCAGCGAGGAGGCCGCGGACAGAATGATATCAGCGAGAAGGCAGTGGCTGTATTTATACTCTCCGAGTTAAGAGAGCAACAGAGAAAGTGTGAGCGAGAGCGTGGGAGAGAAAGAGATGTCTCTAGAGAAAGGCATGTTTCTATGGCAGCTATCTGCAAGAGTGAGCAAAACGTGACACGCAGCAGAGTGTTAGATATCGATACATTGATAGATGAATCATCTATCGAACTATTGACTTTGCACAAACGTTTTCTTAAAATTCAGTATTGCTTAAGCTCACTTAATTAAAATGTGAAGACATAGCAACCCAGTTTAGAGTTGCCAATAATCTATCAAGAAGTGCTGTCACCTCCATAAGTGCAAACTCATTCATTGTGATTTTCCTGCTCGAGAGGAATAATCGGTCATTCAGAAACATTGTAAAAATCCTTAAATTTTCTTTGGTTTTTCCTGTGCAGCGATTCGATACGATCATGTCGAACTACGCTCCGTTCATTAAGCCACAAGTGGAGTACAATGAGCACGGCTGGGGTCCGTGCGAGGTGCCAGAAATGGATGTGCCTTATCAGCCATTCTGCAAGGGCGACCGCCTGGGCAAGATTTGCGATTGGACAGTGCCGCCGCAGGAGCGGAAGTTCGGCAATAAGTATGCCTCGTCATTCGGCAATAGCGGCCAGTATGCGTACTTCCACGAGGACGACGACACCACCTTCCACCTGGTGGACACCACGGGCTCCCGCTCCCAAAAGCCATTCCAGCGCGGTCGCTTTCGCCCGAATTTGCGTCCCAATGTTCGCGGGGGCAGAGGTCGCACGGGACGTGGCAGCGGTCCTGCTGGCATGGGCGGTGGACCAACGGCTGGTGGCGGAACCGGAAATAGTACGAAATACGGAAAGACGCGTGACACGCGACGCTTTCAGGGACGCCGCTTCGGCCGTAATGCCCCCTCCAGACTTCGGGAGAGCTCGGTCGTTGTGCTCTCCGACTGGGTATCCGTCGAGGAGCTGGACTTTTCACGCCTTCTCAAGCTGTCATTGCCGAACGTCAAGGAGGGCCTGGACATTGTCACCTGCGGCTCTCTGGAATACTATGATAAGGTTTATGACCGGATCAACCTGCGCAATGAGCGGGCTTTACTGAAGATGGACTGCATTGTGCACACGGTGTCCACCACCGATGATCCCGTCATCCGGCGCCTCTCAAGGACCATGGGTAATGTCTTTGCCACCGATGAGATTCTGGCCACCATTATGTGCTGCACTCGGTCAGTGTACTCCTGGGATGTGGTCATCGAGAAGCTGGGCACAAAAGTGTTCCTCGACAAGCGGGACAACGCCCGATTCGACTTGCTGACGGTGAACGAGACTTCAATAGATCCGCCGATGGACGAGGAAGGATCTATTAACTCGGCCCACAGCCTGGCCACGGAGGCTACTCTCATCAATCATAACTTCGGGCAGCAGGTTTGCTTAAATTTAACTTATATTATTATTCTAGGTTGTATATATATTCATTACTGGAATTTCAGGTGCTGCGCAGTGGCGATCAGGAGCCGCGCTTTAAATTGGACGAGCCGAACCCGTTCCAGGAGCCTGGCGTTCAGCTGGCCTCACTGGGCTACCGCTACCGCCAGTGGGATTTGGGCAACGGGATCGTGCTGGTCGCCCGCTGCAAGCACAACGGGGTGGTCCAGGGACCAAGCGGTGAGATGCAGTTCCTCACGATTAAGGCACTCAACGAATGGGACTCGAAGGCGGCCAATAGCGTCGAGTGGCGCCAGAAGCTGGACACGCAACGCGGAGCAGTCTTGGCCTCCGAGCTGCGGAACAATGCCTGCAAGCTGGCCCGCTGGACTGTGGAGGCGGTACTGGCCGGTTCTGACCAGTTGAAGTTGGGCTATGTGTCAAGAGTGAGCCCACGGGACCACCTCCGGCACGTCATTTTGGGCACTCAGCAGTTCAAGCCGCAGGAGTTTGCCACACAGATAAACCTCAACATGGACAATGCCTGGGGCATCCTTCGGTGCCTGATCGACCTGGTGATGAAGCAGCCGGATGGCAAATACCTCATCATGAAGGATCCCAACAAGCCAATGGTCCGACTGTACGACATCCCGGAGAACACTTTCGAATCGGATGAGGACGACGAGGACGACTCAAGCGATATCGTCGCCAACTCCACCGACGTCTAGAGAATGATTCTTTTATTCATTTGTCGTATTATTCAGATAAACGAATAAATCTAATAGTTCGAATAAAGGGACCCGTTGACAGGCGACACATGCCCCTCTGACGGGCGCAACGCAAATGCAATTTAAATTGAGTTTTGACCGAATACGTACAGATGTCGGGGGTGACTGCAGCGGAGTTATTTGTATTCGGTGATAACATTGCCACATCAATCACTGCGGTTCAAAGAAATACAAAACGAATGCCGGCAAAATGTGTATGCATTGTGCTGAACATGTCCCGCCATTACCAACTGACAATCGCAATAATTGAAGGGGGAGTGTGAGGGTGTTGTTTGGCTGACAAACCTCAGGTTCAATAAATCACCGAATACGGCATCAATCAATGCAAATTTTGCTGCTGCGACAATTTAAGCAAAATGTTTGCGTACTCAACGCCATTTAATTAAATTCATATAAATGTTTAAGTTTTATATTTATCCATCTAGCCTTTTTTGTTATTCGGCAATTCAATTTGGCCAGTCACTGGGCACAAAAGTGCAAAAATTATTCCCCAGCGGAAATGCAAATCGTTCAACTAAATTACCGAAATGTTTTACACATTTTTGCTTTTGTTTTGCCACAGAGCATTTTCTTTTTGTTCAACGCCAAATTGAATTTTGTGCTATTCAATTTGCATGGATAGGTTCGCCGGCGAGTGAGTGTGAATATATAGTGTGTGAAAATATTTAGCACTGCTGCGCAAAATGAGAATTATTGTAGATTATTTTTTTAATTTTAGCCTGCGGTGGGCTAAATTGATTGATGAAGTCCGGTTAATTTATAATTTATTTTACGGAGCCATTCCGCTCATCAAGTATACGCACAGTTGATCTCGCCCATCAAGTATACGCATAGTTGGACAATGGCGCACTTGAACTTGCCGGTACGCAGCAGTGAAACACCAAAGTGTTATTCAATTAAAACATTTTGTTTGCTAAATCAACATGTAAGCGGGTGTGTGCACTTAGGAAAAATGGAATACAATTGAAACGATTGACAAACTTTGAATACATTTATTATGAACAAAAATTTTAGTGTTTTGCTAAAGATAAACAAAATTACTACATAAAGAATACTTTATTTTTTCAACCTAGTTTTTATTGAATATTAAGTATACTTCTTGAAGGTGTCTAATACTTGTAAATCAATTTCCGTTTGAAAATTTTTCCAGTGTGATGTGGAGTCAGGATGCAGGACCAACTTACGGAATGACTTTTGCGGAATGGTTTTTTAAAGCGTTTGCCGCAGAAAAGTTTGCTTTGGCTGGTTAGCTGCTCGAGTGGCTTCGGCTACCAGCTCCAGCTCCAGCTACCAGCTCTAGCTACCAACTACCGGCTTTAGCTGGCAGCTTTAGCTTCTGGCCAGGACGGGCAATGTGTGCGGCATTTCAAGGTCTGCGCTTGGCTAACCACGCCGTTGAAAGGCGTTTAACAAACTGGCTGTAGAGGGCAGGCAGCAACAACTCCGGGCCCAGCTCAAGTGGGGCCTTAGCGCAAAACTTTGTACATTTTATCGCATATGCAGGGCTGCGGGCCTTTCCAGGGGGTGTTGTTGTTGCCGTGGGGCACCGGGCGAACGGGGCCAGGCATTTGCATATGCAACCACAAACACCGCCCGAGTGAAAAGTTAAGCGTTGAATGAGGGCGACAAATTGCAAATTAAACTCTTTTGCATTTTCCCAGCTCACTCACATGAGGAATAGTTGTAAATAAAAGTGCCACACCCGCGTCAACTTCTGGACCCGGCCCACGCCCACTCCCACTCCCAATGGCCCATTCCCGCCAGCGTGCCAGGGCTAAATTCAATTTCATTTCAATTTGCCCGGCGCGCTGCCTGGGCGCAGTATGGGAAACCGAAGCCGAAGCCGTCTGAGCCGCATTAGGAAACCAAATGCGACTTAAAGTTGCCGCCAAAGCACTTGGCCCCCAGCTCTCTGGCCGTTTAAGCAGCGAGTTTGCCATCTTTGGACATTAGTCGGGATCAGAGGGGGCATTTCAGAATTCGGATTTAGGGGCGCGGAGCTCCGGGCGGAGCAGAGTGGAGGAGTGAAGAGTTTAGGAATGTTTGCAAGCCAAAAGTTTGGTGTTCCTTTGGCCGGCTCGGATTTCGCCCTTGCCTCTTGGCATATTTAATTTGCCGACTTGTGTCAGTTTTTCTTTTCTTCTCCTTTCTCCCATTCGAGGAAATCCTGTCAATTTTGTGACATTTGCTTTGGGCCACGTTCACCGTTAACTTTTCAAATGCAGCTCATTTAAATATCATTTGTCAGGCGAAAGTTTGCCACGAGTCAGTTAATCGAGGACGAAGCACCTCGGGGCCAGTATCCCAGCCAAGGGTTTTGGCTGCAGTTGAAAGAAATTTACGAAATCAGTTGGCCTAATCTTTCAAAGAACCCAAAACAAAGGATCCAAAAGTAGGTTCAAGTGATTGAAAAATGGTTTGGCTTTTAAATATGTAAATTACAAGAAAACTCATGAAATTGTGTTTTCTTTTTGAATAGACTGGGGTTTGGAGAGACTTTAGCCAATGAGAACTCTTAAAAGATGTATATTTATAGAGCTTATTTGTATAGTGTATTATTTTCAAACTCCTAACATAATTATTGAAATAAATTTAAGTCTATGAGGTTTCAGGATAACTCTCTTTGTTCTAGGTTAATTCATTCTTTGGTTTCTCCCCATAAATAATGTATTTAAATTACACTTTTCCCATTTTATTCGCACGACTAGACACAGACAAGCCCACCTTGTGGTTGATGCCACCGAAATGAAACTTGTTATCAAAGCCGACACACCTCCATCAAACATGAGAGCCGCAACAACGACGAAAACAAATTCCAACGCCACCTAACAAATCTGCAACAATAGTGATAATTTTTTCCACTTCTCGGCTCGTCTCCAGACACTTTTTCTGCTGGCCAGAAGTTTTAAGCAAACATTTTGACAAAGTTATATTTTTTGCTCGCAATTTTTAGCTGAAACTTTTTCGATGGCGAGAAGGAGAAGGAGAAGGAGAATAATGTCTAAAATTATGCAGATGCAATGGTGGCGGTGGAGCCACGAGACCCCGGCAATGGGTCCATAATTCGATGAAATGAATTGGTTGCAGTCGCAGTGCCAGATGCTGCGAAGTACCACCGGGGTAGCTGACAAGCCGCCCGATGATTGCACGCAAAGTTCTCGGATTCCGCAGAATTATCACCCCGCCCGGACCCGACCGGAAATCATTTTTCCTCTTCCGGTCAGGCCGAGGTTTCAGTTCAGGCGCTCAGTTCCCGTTGACGCCGCAGGAAGAGGGAATATTTTTCACGTCTCACTTGGTGCTCCTCTACACCAGACTCCAGACTGCGGCTGCGGAGCAACTTCTGTTTTACACATTTCTAATTCGTTTCCTGGGAAAAGTCTGGCTTGTTGGCTGTATGGCTGCTGGCAGGGCTTAGGGTTACAAATCTCGAATGAAATTCATTGAATACTTGTCAAAAATATTCCAGTAGCCGGCGTAATTGGATTCTTTCATGCCGTTGTCATCCCAGCTGGGCACATGTGTACTTTTGCACTCTTGAATATTTTTGCGGAGATTTGGGTTTGAGCTTTAGGGCCGATGCACTTGCAGGCAATTGAGGCCTCCTTTAAAAATAGTTAAGCCCAGGAGAATAAACCGCAAAACAAAAGATTCTTTTATTAATTTATTAGAGAAACTCCAGGCTTATGTATTCAAGAGATTATTGCTGGCTTAACGAGATCCCCAGTTATATTTCCCTGGTGAAATGCAACCCATCAGGAGCCATAAATATACCCTATACAAATCCCAGGAATTCAAAGGGATTTCTTAATGCGAACCAAAGTTTTATCAGCGATGGCTGTGTTCAATAAAGCCCCATTTTGGTGGATTTTCGTTATGCAAATCACTGGGAAGATCAAAAGCGAGACACGATCTCGAGATGTGATTATTCCGAGCAGGTCTCACTTTAAATGGGAAACACAATACCGAGCGGAGAGCAGAGCAAAGCGGAGCGCAGCGGAAACTCTGATGTGGCTTAACTTTGGCTCCGAAAAGTGGGGGAAAAGTAAATCAACAAGTTGGATAAACTTGGCTGTCAGACACCGATGGAATATTTTAAGCAAGACGAGCTCTTAACTGCTTTAAGTTTTCAACATAAATATCAAGTATACGCACACGATACCCGCTGCCACCGTGCCACTGTGCCCCACTGCCCCACTGCTCCACACACGCACCGGGACACGGCATAAGGAATAAGAATAAGGTGGCAGCGGTTGTGAAAAACCCAAATCCAGCAGCCGGGGGAAAAAAACATAAGAATGAAAACAAACGAAACAGACAACAAAGTTGGTTTACTTTCGGGGTCGTTTTCGGTTCTTTTGTACATTTCGCCACAAGCATGAAAATCGATTACCTGTTTGAAATGGAAAATATCGTACATATAGATTTATCTTTGAGTGGGTAAGCTGATTGTCTGGGGGCAGACTTTGCATAAGCGAATTGTAAATACAGCAAGGGGGGCGCTGAAATGGCATTGAAATTATGCCGAATGCGTTTTTCATTTTCTAATTTCGGCATCGATCCTCGGTGCCAGAGACGCTGATTCCTCTTTCTCGTCGAGTGGCAATTTGCAACAAATTTGCGAAATTGCTCCTGCAGCAAGCTGGACGGAAGGCGATGGCTCTTGTGTCCATTTGCTCGCCTGCTTTGTTTCTTATTTTATTTGCTACAAATTGGGTTCTATCACCCAACGCCCCCACCACCACTATCGATGCTGAGGGACAGCTGATGCATCCGTGATGATGATGATGATGATGACAACTACGTACGTACGTCCCCTTCCGTGCGGGCTCTGCCCGAGTTTTGCACAAAATTAAATTCCATTTCGCCCTCTCCAGCAAACTGGCATTGTTGGATGGCCATCATCGAAATTTTCATCACTCACACCCCAAACGTCCAACGATGTCCAAACAAAGAGCGAGCCGGACCGGGATGCTGGCCACCATGTGCTGCTGGCCCTTGGCTCGG